AGGCTTTTTTCCAACGACGTCGTCCCAGCCGGTGTTGTCCTGCAGAGGATGGGCCAGCTGGTGGCTCGGCCGAAGCTGTTGCAGCGGGCGCCCTCACAGACTCAGCTAGTTTCAGCAGACGATATTACAGCTGCTAACGCCCCAGTTCCATGTTAGGCTTCCCGGCAGCCGATGCTTCAGTCATGAAGCTCCAGCTGAAGCGTTCCACCCGACGTTGCGCCCATCAATTTATCACTCTTTTCAGTTTTTGTAATTCTCGCTTTCCCAGCTTCATGAATTGTTCCCGTTATTTTCTATGACAGTTATATTCCAGTCTTTAGCCTAAATTGTCTTGCAGCTGGCCTTCTACTTACCACTAAGGTCTTCCCTGGTGGCCAGTTGCCGCTATTTTCCTCCCTTTATCAGATGTTGATGCTCCAGCTGTCGATGTCCAGCTGCAGGTGCCCAGCTCCGATGCTCCAGCCGCTGATGGCAGGATTTTGCAGTTCAACATTCGGCAACGGTCGTTAAGTTAATCCATTATTTTGCACAATTTTGACTATTGGTGTTTGTGTTATACACGCTACGTTAATGTGGGTTTAAGGTCCAGGTACTACCCACGTGCATAATTCTTTAACTTATAAAACCCGTGCTTATTGTATTTGAGTTATTAACTAAGCCAGCTAGGTTGTGCTAGTTGCCGTGTCACAGGCCTCATGCCTCTTGCTTCAGTTTCCCTGGCTTTGCATTTACCACTAGCTGCCAACGGCCATACCACGTTGAGAACACCGCTTCTCGTCCGTTCAGCGAAGTTAAGCAACGCTACTCACTTTATTTCCGCTCAGGATGCTTTGTCTTGTTGTATGTTTACTTTTACTGTGTTTACAGTATGTTTGTTTAACTTTTGCTTTGCCTTAAGTTACTAAGTAAAGTCAGTTAGGATGTGCTAGTCGCGGTGTTACGGGCCCTTGTCTCCTGCTTTAAGTTTCTGGCCCTGCATTTATGTTTAGTTTCCTCTGTAAATTATTACTGTTATTACGGGTAGCCCTTGCGGCATATTTGTTGTTTCTCCTGGTTACGTTATGTGGTTTATCATTTACGGCCTAAATGTTTACATTTAGCCTATCACAATTTAATTCTTCAATTGATGCCCTCCCAACACCAGCTGCAGGTTTTACTTCCCGGTGGAAATTTATGCTTGTTCACTCGACTTTGTTTAAGTTGTTAGGTAAGGCCAGTTAGGCTGAGCGAGTTGCTACTCGCCGTCTCAGTTATCTCTAACTTAAGCTTCTGGCGTCGTGCGGTCCGCCGTTTTGGTGATTTATAATTTATATTATTTGTGAACATTTTTAAAATATATCTTATGATTGCTAGACTTTCAGTTATGAGTTGTATTACTTCCGCAATTTATAGCATTGCTTACGCCTCATGCCTAAAAATTTTTATTATTGGACTCGCAATTATGATTCGTATTTAACACGGCAAAATTTTCCCGCAATTTACACTTTGCTTAAGTTTCACGTTTAATTTGTTATATTAAGGGACTTTCAATTAGGATTTGTATTAATCTATTGCTTTGTCTCTGCGCCATTAAGTTAATTTCAGCTAGGGTACGCTATAGTTGCAGTGCATTCGGGTTGGGTCCCCTCCCCCCATTTTTTCCTCTGGTTATTTCGTCCAATTACACTCCTTTCTATTGGATTATTTTGAAATTAATTATTACTTGCTAGATCCCTCCCCCTGGATTAACTTCTGCCCTTGACCCAGATACGGTAACTGGTCCCCCACCCCCCAACCTTTTTTACTTGTCTGGGTTTTTCCCGCTAAAGTTCTGCTCGGTTTGGTAGTTACCTTACTTCGCTACAGACTAGTTTCCTGGAAGATCTTTTTCTCTTCCTTTCCCCTCTAGTCACTCCAATCCCCTGTGCCAGTGTTCCTTTTCAGAGTTTTCCGCAGGGTATCACACTGGCCTTATCCATTAATGACACTTGCCCAGTTCGCTTCCGGAAATGTCCCCCTCCTCTTACAAACTAATTCCAGCAGTAACCTTAAGGGGTAGGTTCCTTGCCCGTCACGTTCATACTGCATGCCCGTTTCTGCCCACCCTTACTGCCTTAATACTTCCAGAACCGACTACGGAAGGCGCACAAGGTACACCATTGATGAACAAGGAAAAGGGATGGAGCCCGAGGGCAGACTACTGCACCCATGAGGTCGACACACATTCCTAGTTACAGCGGCCAGCCGCCGCGTTCGCCCTTCGGGGTTGGGGGTTCCGCGCCGCTGGCCCTCGCGGGATTGGGGGTGCTCCGCCGGAACCCCCAAAGTGATAAGCCTGCAGATAGCTAAGAAATATTCCCATGAATTGTAATTAGTGTAATTAAATTAATGCAACTTTCATTTACTACCTATAGATGTAGTTATTAATTGTAATTGATTTCTACTTTATCATTAAGGATTATTCATTATAATTATTCCTTAATACTTTATTGTTATGCACTAGTCAATAATTATTTATCATTCATCCTAATTAGCTATTTGATTCATTAAAAATAATTGCTTATCATTATACTATTTGTTATTATTATTATTATTTATTATATAATAATAATAATTTATTTGTTATTTATTAATTTATTATATATTAATTTATTATTTACCATTATAAAATAAACAAGTCCCCAATCTGACCAGCTCAGGGCTCCCCCCTAGTGTGGTGGCGGGAGGAGCCTAATTGATCGTGCAGCTAAACACATTAAAAATCTTCCCCTATGCATCATATTGTTACTTCACTCGTTCTCAGGATAGCTAATCTTATAACAATGTTATACTTAATCCACAACAAGCTCAAGAGTCTGAATGCTTGTGAGCAACAAGATTCGTCCTACGTTTGGCAGGGAAGATACGAACAAAGACACATCGTGATGCGTTTCCAATACTAAAGGCATTTATTAGCTCAGTTTTGACCTCTGGTTTCCACTGAGGAACCCAGGGTCGTAACACCCTGTTACCTAGCAGTAAAATAGGTACCTGGGTGTTAGTCAGCTGTCACGGGCCGCTTCCTGGGGGTGGAGGCCTGGTCGAGGACCGGGCCGTGGGGACACTAAAGCCCCGAAATCATCTCAAGATAACTCAAGATAACCACGTTTCAGTAAGTATAATAAAAGATAATTTGTTGTCAATATAGTTTCAATCAAGGCACTAACATCATCGAAGTGTTTACCTAGGGATCTAACGTTCAAGTTGATCACAGAGATATTGTGATTATGTGTTAATACATTGTTTACATCATGTGCTGTAAAATATCTGCAATTTTGGTCATTAAAGTGACGATTGTCATAGATAGTGGATAAGAGGTTTAGTTCTAGGTCTATACTTGTCTGCATAAAAAGGCTGGTGTGTTATTGCTGTGTATTACCTCCTGGGGAGGGCCAACCTTTGACCTCAGGGTCAAGCCTCCTTAAACAGGTTTCCAGTGGCCGACACAGGGGAAAGCCCAGCTGGGAAACTCGCCATTGACGGTGGCAATTCCTGCACGTGACGTCCTTCAAGATTTTAACTCCATTAATTATCGCGTTTTTTTCTGTTGGCGTCACTTGGTATGGCATTTTAACGTTTTATTTTAGTCTGGTTTAGAATTGAGCTTGATCGCAAGATGTGCCAAGCGTGTGATTGTATGATTTTACTGTAGCGTGTAATTGGGCACGGTCCTGTACTCACCCACTGTATCTATTGAGTAAATGTGGGTGACTGTAATCTTTACACAAGCGCCCACAGGATGGGGTCAACTTCCATCCCACATGATGGGTATGGGGTCCACTACCACCCACATGATGGGTATGGGGTCCACTACCACCCGCATGATGGGTATGGGGTCCACTACCACCCACAGGATGGGTATGGGGTCCACTACCACCCACAGGATAGGTATGGGGGTCCACTACCACCCACAGGATGGGTATGGGGTCCACTACCGCCCACAGGATGGGTATGGGGTCCACTACCGCCCACAGGATAGGTATGGGGATCCACTGCCACCCACAGGATGGGTATGGAGTCCACTACCACCCACAGGATGGGTATGGGGTCCACTACCACCCACACGATGGGTATGGGGTCCACTACCACCCACACGATGGGTATGGGGTCCATTACCACCCACAGGATGGGTATGGGGTCCACTACCACCCACAGGATGGATATGGAGTCCACTACCATCCACAGGATGGGTATGGGGGTCCACTACCACCCACAGGATGGGTATGGGGTCCACTACCACCCACAGTATGGGTAAAGGGTCCACTACCACCCACAGGATGGGTATGGGGTCCACTACCACCCACACGATGGGTATAGGGTCCACTACCACCCACAGGATGGGTATGGGGTCCACTACCACCCACAGGATGGGTATGGGGTCCACCACCACCCACAGGATGGGTATGGGGTTCACTACCACCCACAGGATGGGTATGGGGGTCCACTACCACCCACAGGATGGGTATGGGGGTCTACTACCACCCACAGGATGGGCATGGGGTCCACTACCACCCACAGGATGGATATAGGGTCCACTACCACCCACAGGATGGGTATGGGGGTCCACTACCACCCACAGGATGGGTATGGGGTCCACTACCACCCACAGGATGGGTATAGGGTCCACTACCACCCACAGGATGGGTATGGGGTCCACTACCACCCACAGGATGGGTATGGGGTCCACTACCACCCACAAGATGGGCATGGGGTGCATATAATTAATGAACTAAAGTAAAGCAAGCCTCCCGAGGGCTATATGCGCATATTAATACAGAAAAGCGGGCATTTACAATGTTCACATTCTGTAGGCTATATAATCAATAATTGTGTACGCTTGTATCCCGAGCGTACACACACTTGCATTGAATGACGGATTGTTAGAGTTCGTTGATTACTGAATGACAGACAGACATAGCTGGTGAAAATGTGTATACAAGTGAGTGGCAACTGCGTATAGGTGAGGCGAGGTGGCGGCCGGCCTCCCAGACCGCCGTCAGACCGTCAACAACTCTCAACATGGACCGACGCATTCTCTTCACCTTCCTCATGTGAGTCTCTGCGGAATATTGTGTTTGCAATTAAGTAGTGATCTAGGTGTTGGTATAGGATGAGAGTTACGCTCGTGGTGTCCCGTCCAATGTTTCCAGATTGGGCTATAAGTAGCGAGTTGGGCTAATTTTGACAGCTCTGCGCTAATAGTCTCCGTGGTGTAGTGGTAAGACATTCGCCTGGCGTTCCGTGAGCGATATGTCATGGGTTCGTATCCTGGCCGGGGAGGATTTACTGGGCGCAATTCCTTAACTGTAGCCTCTGTTTAACGCAACAGTAAAATGTGTACTTGGATGAAAAAACGATTCTTCGCGGCGGGGATCGTATTCCAGGGACCTGCCCGAAACGCTACGCGTACTAGTGGCTGTACAAGAATGTAACAACTCTTGTATATATTAAAAAAAAAAAAAAAAAAACTTTTGACAGCTCTGCGCTAATCTCGCTACTTGCCCCATTTTGGGCTAATTTAAAAATTAGTTAGGCCAATTTGGGCTATTAATGGTAAGATAGTAAATTATTTGTTATTTATGCATTTATAATGTAATGTGTGTAAATCGCAGCTGCGTCCAACCTCCTGCCTGACCAAACCACGAAAGGTCTGGTCAGAGACCGGGCCTTGGGGACGTTAATCCTTGGAACCTTGGAAAGAAAAAGTATACCGCAGGGTAAGGTAATCCTCCCCAGGGGCGATAGACTTCCCAACTTTGGTTGCCATTAATGCTTCAAGGATGGTAGAAATAGCCTAAGCTACTCTACCCCATTTCGCATTTGGCCAACGGGAGACATCTCCCATCATGCAGGGTGCAGTATCACCTCCACAGATTTCTAGTATCTATTGATACTGGTAATAGCTCAAAAGGGCCACCACTTACGGGCTATTCATGCCCGTGCCACCTTTTGGGTAGCTTAATCTTCATCGATCAATCATCTACCCTTTTGAGATGTATTTTATTGTCTCAATAAACGTACCTGAACTTGAATGCTTCATCCCGGGTAATGTCTATACAAGCAAGTCCTCCCCCATGAAATGATAGTATTGAACTATTTGGTGGAAAGTACCAATATGTAGTGATGGACCACCAATAAGTCACTTATAGATGAGTCAACAGATATTGTGAGTGAAAAACATTGAGTGAAAAAAAACGTTTCTTCAACTCTGTGTGCACCTCATCTCTCACGTTACACTGTGATGAAGAAGGATGTTCCTTAAATTGTGATTTGTTTCTTATCAATTGCACGTCATGCCTTGCATTTGGTCTATTCTCACGCATCCGACGAATTATCTTCGTCAGATGCGAAGATTATTAGCGTCGACTTCATAATAAGAGAAAACTACAGCTGGTTCCACAGATCTTCATTCAGGAGAGAAAGTTATCTATTCTAGAGATTTACAGACTTATAAATGATGGGAAAGATCCCTCACAGTTGATACCTTTGTCAGGAACACGATGGTTGGTGAGGAACAATAGTGTAGAGCGGCTGTTAGATCACTGGGATTCTTGAACAACTCCTTACCAATTTCTTCTTACTCTTATGATAAATATGTTGCAAGGCTATTTTCAGATGTTACAAGAAGTTAACATGTTATGTTACAAGAATGTAAGAACTCTTGTATATATCTCAAAAAAAAAAAAAAAAAAAAAAAAAAAAAAAAAAGTAAACTCTGATCCTGCCAATAAGTTATATTTCACATTCCACAGACCACCCACAGGAGCCTCGTAGCCTGGTGGATAGCGCGCAGGATTCGTAATTCTTTGGCGCGGTTTCGATTCCCGCACGAGGCAGAAAAAAATGGGCAAAGTTTCTTTCTCCCTGAATGCCCCTGTTACCTAGCAGTAAATAGGTACCTGGGTGTTAGTCAGCTGTCACGGGCTGCTTCCTGGGGGTGGAGGCCTGGTCGAGGACCGGGCCGCGGGGACACTAAAGCCCCGAAATCATCTCAAGATAACCAATGCTAAATGATTTTGAAAGGATGACTTGACTTCAAAAAGATGAAGCAGATCAGTGTACCTATCACACAAGTTTGAAAACTTCACTCTTGGAATATTCGGAAGAAATGTGCATCCTGATCATGTAAAGCTTCATGTTAATTTGGACTTTTAATTCCATTTATCTGCCCCTGGAGAAAGTGGACTTTCGTTACGAATTTTCTACACTTAAATACAGATAAAATAATGCTATAAACTAGAAATAGCTCAAAATGTTCAAGAATGATGGCATAAATTTTTTGTGAAAGTTTGCAAATAGTTTCTTTCTGGTTATCTTGAGACGATTTCGGGGCTTTTTTTAGTGTCCCCGCGGCCCGGTCCTCGACCAGGCCTCCACCCCCAGGAAGCAGCCCGTGACAGCTGACTAACACCCAGGTACCTATTTTACTGCTAGGTAACAGGGGCATAGAGTGAAAGAAACTCTGCCCATTGTTTCTCGCCGGCGCCTGGGATCGAACCCAGGACCACAGGATCACAAGTCCAGTGTGCCGTCTATGGAACTCACTCCTTAACGAATTGGAAAGCTGTCCAGCTTTTGCCTTATTCAAAAATAAAACAAAAAAGTACCTGATTTCATCCTCATAATTTCCTACCTGATGCTTAAAATTAGCACTGTATCTTGTGCTACTTAATCCCCCGATGTATGTACCTAAACTATTCAACTTTACCTTTGTAATCATTGCTATCAACTTATATCATGGTTGTTATATTGAACGCATATTTTACTGCATTATACCTTGAAATAATCCTCAAATTATGCTACAATGTACCTGTTGATAACCCTCAAATTTGACTTCAATGTACCTACTAATCTTTGTCAAGTTTTCTTACACTATACCTGTAAACATTTTTTTAAAATTTGCTAGAAATTACCTACTTAAAATTATCAGTTCGTTTCGGGAAGGTCCTTAATCTGTGATTATGGGTTTATTCAAGTTCAAGTATGTTTATTGAGACAAGAAAGAAATACATCTCAAAGGGATAGAGTAGCTTAGGCTATATCTACCCCCCCCCCCCAATAGGTTCATTTACATCTGCTGGGAGGTAACTGCTGGAGATGTCTTGAAGATAATAATGTGTGTCACGCTTCTCAGGTTGTCCTCCCTGGTGCTGCTGACGGAGGCGCTGCCGCTCTCCATAAACCCCTGGAGGCCTCCCTTTCCCGGAAGACCACTTCCTGGCGGTGAGCTATAACAGATCATGTCTTCCTTAACCAGGAAGGTTAGTTATAAGTCACCACATTGTGCGGACGATGAGTAGCGTTGCTGAAGAACTGACACCCAACCCACACATCTGATAATAAATTTCTTGTATTTGTGTCTAGCTATACAGCAAAATTGTTAATGATGGAAACAGAGTACATTTCATGTGGACTCCCCTCTCATGTTGGCCTTTGAATGCATGATAGAGCTAATGAGTTAGCCAAAGACTCTGTCTTTAAGGGAGAAATTGAGTATAACCTTAGATTGTTAATAAGCAGTCTGAGAGCAATATAGTACATCAAGAACTTCAACAAAATCTTGTATATCGGAGGGAAAGTGAAATCGACGCCAGTAATTCCATCTATCATCATGCAAGAGGAGCCGATAATGGTATCTTCATTATCAGACGTGTGTTGATCTATATATTGTATTCTTTAACCCGGAAGATTAGTTGTCTCCATTTTGTCTTCCTTAAGAGAAACATTCAGTTCTAAAGATTATTTAATACCAGTGAGCCACACTCTGTGGAGTTTTTTTTATGCAAGATTGATAGAACTTAGTTGTTTAGAATGGATCTCAATTCAATATGATTTTAATGATGCTGGGGGGACCATCTTTTTTCAAACTTTTGGCACAAAACATGGTATTAAAAACTTTGAATCATTTTGTACTACATCTAGGCTTTGTAATTGTTTAGGAGAAAAGTTAACAAGACATAATAATCCACAACAGAGTGTATAAAGGCAACAAAAAGCTACGAGCATATTTTATGTTAATGCCAAATCCTTTAGAGTTTTGAGAGGTTTATGTCGCATAAAAGCATTTTACGAAGGTTATTGATGAGATCTGCATCACTGACCTCGACTATATTTATAAGACTCGCACGCCTCCGCGGACACGACACCAATATTTTAGTTATCACGGTGAAGAGAATGAATAACAAGAAGATTGTTTTATTAACAAAGATAACTTGAGACTGTGTACATCCGGCCTCCACTTGAGTCCATTTCTCGGTCACTATTTTATGTATGTATCTATGTGTTTCTTCTTTCTTTATATGTAAATATGTGACAGTGTCAGACCACGGAGGAAAATTGAAACAGGAATTTCCTTAAGTACTTTCGTATATTAATACATCTTCAGAAGGAGTCGAAAATTCCTGTTTCAATTTTCCTCCGTGGTCTGACACTGTCACATTTTTAATCACGTGTTTATTTTCGTGATATACACACATGTATATATGTATATGACATTATTTGACATTTCTCTATACATGATGGGGGTAACTAACTGTGATGTTAATATTCGTGTCGGTCCCCGGTATTACATTCTCAATCATTCTCTTCAGTCACTCGTATTCTCAAGAAACCCCACTAATAGTTTGTGACAGTCTCAAAACATATATAAGCGTATATGTATTCTTAATACACGCATGTTCGTATGTGTCTCCCGCTCTAGAATGTACACACGCATGATCGTATATGTATCCCGCTGTACAACGTACACATGTGTGAAGTACAAAACAGCAACAAACATCTTGGCAAAGATCTAATGAGTCTTTTTCCTTCAGGTCCGCTGGTGCTGCCTGGCTGTGTGTGCGTCCGGGCCCCCTGCTACTGCAGTCCCAGTAGACAGAAAGACTTTCCAGGATTTGAACACTATTAACTGTGGCTCTCATCATCATAACTCTGTAATCTAATCCTGTTTCAGTCTTCTTTATTTCGTAGCTTAATCCTGCCCGTCAACCATCTTTATTCTGTAGCCTGTTCTTGTCCTCTTCTCTCTAAACCATCTTTATTCTTGTAGCCTGTTCTTGTCCTCTTCTCTCTAAACCATCTTTATTCTTGTAGCCTGTTCTTGTCTCCCTCTCTCTAAACCATCTTTATTCTGTAGCCTGTTCTTGTATCCATCTCTCTAAACCATCTTTATTCTTGTAGCCTGTTCTTGTCCTCTTCTCTCTAAACCATCTTTATTCTTGTAGCCTAGCGCTGTCTTCGTGTGCTAATCGATCTAACCTCAGATAGGAGGTACCCTGGAGATAATGACTTCAAAACCACTATGTAATTTGTGTTATTATCTACGCCCAATCTATGGTTAGGTAAAGGTTCCATTAGGTTAAGTTTACGTTAGGTTAAGTTTCATTACGTTTGGTTTCGTTAATATGGTGTAATATTATCAAGTCTGTACCTCCTTCATTTGAGACAGTGATGCTTTAAGAAATGAATCATTATTTGTGGAAATTTCTGGTAATAAATTGATTATAAATAATCGTTTGCATTATTTTCCCGAAGAATATACGTTGAATATAGTGGAATATCAGTCATCAACGGGTGAGGTTCTGACACATCAGTCAACAGAACACCACCCGTTGATGACTGTTGTGTCAGGACACCACCCGTTGATGACTTGTGTCAGAACATCACCCGTTGATGACTTGTGTCAGAACACCACCCGTTGATGACTTGTGTCAGAACACCACCCGTTGATGACTTGTGTCAGAACACCACCCGTTGATGACTTGTGTCAGAACACCACCCGTTGATGACTTGTGTCAGAACACCACCCGTTGATGACTGTTGTCAGAACACCACCCGTTGATGACTGTTGAGTCAGAACACCACCCGTTGATGACTTGTGTCAGTACACCACCCGTTGGACACCCAGGTAGCGCGGTTGGAACAGTGTCTGCATTGTGGCTTGTTAAGCTTGAAACCATTATAGGCGAGCCACACACCTGTCCCAGACGACCCTGATACACATTCACCCAACAATAACAGAGGCTACGCAGTGTGCTGACAATGATGGAGATACAAATTATATCACAGTACAGATATACGAGTAGTGTGTGGAGGTGCAGCTGTGGCTCCCGTGTGGCAGTGCACCTGCAGACACTGTCGGCAGCAGTGCTCAGCGCTGGTAGGTGACAACACCTTTGAAACAGGCGCCATGAAGACCACCGGCTGGCTGGTCGTGGGCTGGATCTTCACCCTTCACACCGTCTGCCCTGGCCGCGCTGGGCATCAGGCAAGTCTTAGTTTGATCGGGTTGTTGTTGTTGTTATAGATTCAGCTACTCGGAACAAGTTCCAAGTAGCACGGGCTATGGTGAGCTCGTAACTTACCTGGCACAGGAGCGGGGCAAGTAGCACGGGCTGTGGTGAGCCCGTAGTGGACTTACCTGGCACAGGAGCGGTGCTGAATGTGCTGTGGTTTGATCGGGGATTACTTCCACCGCTCGGTGAGACTTAAGAGTCGATAGTACTGCCTCCGCCCCAGCCCGTCCTCCAAACAAAGACCCAAAAGTGATTCCATCCACCCGCCAACCCCCCAGGTGTTTATGAATGATAAACGGTTTACACACGACTTACAACTGATTTCGTTCGAACACTTCCGGAACAAGTGCTTCACTGACGAATTTTGTTCGAACCACAACGCTGTAAATGCTTCACCCACGTACTACAAATAATCGCCAACAGAACCTAAACAACCTAACCTATGCCTATATATACACAATGTGCTAATATATTATAATATTAATTTATACTTGAGAAAATTCCCGTTTTGAATGAACATCATGTAAAAATTTATGAATGCATCTGTGGGGTCGACCGCTGGATGGAATGGACTTGAGTCGAGGACGGGTTGTACTCCGTGATAGTAGTTCCTTCTTTCTCATTACATAAACATGAGAGAGAATCATTCTCAGTAACGATGCCTGAGGTATTCTGCTTGTTACTCTACTTCACTCCAACTTCTCCCCCATTACTTTGACTTCTATCTGTTAGGTACTCTCCTGCTCACGTCTGTGTTCTTCTAGTCACTCTTAAATACACCATCTGCCCAACCGCCTTCTGTGTTGTCATGTTTTTGTGACTTTGTCATAGAACTTCAGTAAGTTCGTTAGGTATGACTTTCCTTCCCTGAAGCCATGTTGGTGTTTGTTTACATATCTGATCCTCTCCAGGGGCCAGATTCACGAAGCAGTTACGCAAGTACTTACGAACGTGTACATCTTTCCTCAATCTTTGAAGATTTTGGTTACATTTATTAAACAGTTTACAAGCATGAAAACTTGCCAATCAACTGTTGTTATTGTTATAAACAGCCTCCTGGTGCTTCGGAGCTCATTAACTGGCTAATAATTGTAAACAAAGCCGCCAAAGATGGAGAAAAGATGTTCAGGTTCGTAAGTGCTTGCGCAATTTCTTCGTGAATCTAGCCCCAGGTGTTTACTAGTCTTATCCTTATTATTCTTTCGAGTACCTTGCAGGAGATGTTTGTCAGTTGTCTGGTCTGTAGTTTACTGCTTCTTCCATATCTTCTTTCTTATATACTGGCATGATATTCACCATCTTCCCTACAGCTGGATAAAACTCCCTTCTCAGTTGACTCATTATAGACCAGGAGCCAGATTCACGAAGCCGTTACGCAAGTACTTAATTACAAACGTGTTCATCTTTACTCAATCATTGACGGCTTTGTTAATTTATTTATTATTTATTAAACAGTTTACAAGCTTGAACACTTCCCAATCAAATGTTGTTATTGTTATAAACAGCCTCCTGGTGCTTCAGAGCTCATTAACTGTTTAATTATTGTAAACAAAGCCGCTAAAGATTGAGAAGAGATGTACAGGTTCGTAAGTGCTTGCTTAACTGCTTCGTGAACCTGGCCCCAGAGCTAGAAGTATACTGAGGAACTGTGAAGCCTCTTGTAACATCAACGTTGAAATATTATCGTATATAGTTTGATTTTCATCTATTGATGTTAGTTGTCTCATTATCCCCCCCCCCCCCCCCGGTCGTTATCTCAGTATTGGTCAGTCTCCGTCTAAGGTCCTGTAACGTACGTTTATGTTACGTTGTTGGGTTGATTAGATACATACGCAGTGTTTAGTGAGTTTCATATTTATTTAATAGTCCTGGATACAGCAGTGTCGTAGACGTTGAGACGAAGCCTGGAGCAGAGCAGAGAGCTGAGTGTGGCCGGAGTCGCGGAGCTCTATGTGGGAGAGCGTTGTAGCTGGATGAGGTCGTAGTCTGCTGTCTGCTCTGTGTCGAAGCTGTAGCGTCTTGGGGTCGATTAGAACTGCCTACGCCGAGTACTACATTCTTGACTGGAGATTGTACTGGCTTGCTATTCTCAAATCGCTGGCTTATATACGGTTACTACAGCTCACAGTAAGATAGGAGGGTGGAAAAACCGTTACCTGTAAATAGGGATAGGATTATAGCTTGTGTAATTAGTTATGCCATTAAGATGATGAGATAATGGAGCGGGTATAGGTTTACTCGCTACAGTCTACACCTCCCCAGTACTGGGAACTGTCGGCTCAGTCGTCAACACACCTTGGAAACTGGCATTGAGCTCCTTACACATTTCTTTATAATTTTGTGAGGAACTCATTGTATGTGTGTGTGTGTAATTACCTAAGTGTAGTTACAGGATGAGAGCTACGCTCGGGGTGTCCCGTCTTCCCAGTAATCTTTGTCATATAACACTTTGAAACTACTGACAGTTTTGGCCTCCACCACCACCTCACCTAACTTGTTCCAACCGTCTACCACTTTGTTTGCAAAAGTGAATTTTCTTATATTTCTTCGGCAGCTTTATTTAGTTAGTTTAAATCTATGACCTCTTATTCTTGAACTTCCGGGTCTCAGGAATTCTTCCCTATCAATTTTATCGATTCCCGTTACTATTTTGTATGTAGTGATCATATCACCTCGCTTTCTTCTGTCTACTAGTTTTGGTATATTTAATGCCTCTAACCTCTCCTCGTAGCTCTTGTCCTTCAGTTCTGGGAGCCACTTAGTAGCATGTCTTTGCACCTTTTCCAGTTTGTTGATGTGCTTCTTAAGATATGGGCACCACACAACCGCTGCATATTCTAGCTTTGGCCTAACAAAAGTTGTGAACAATTTCTTTAGTATATCGCCATCCATGTATTTAAAATCAATTCTGAAACTGGAAAGTGTAGCATAGGCTCCTCGCACAACGTTCTTTATGTGGTCTTCAGGTAATTGTTTTCTATAACTACCTCTAGATCTCTTTTTTTTTATCAGAATTCTTTACATTTTTCTCACATAATTTGAGAATTTGCGTTTGGTCTATGTTTTCTTATTCCACATTCCAAAACATGGCATTTATTCACATTAAATTACATCTTCCAAGTGGTGCTCCATATACTTATTTTGTCCAGGTCTTCTTGAAGGGCATGACAATCATCTAAGTTTCTTATCCTTCCTATTATCTTAGCATCATCAGCAAACATGTTCATATGATTCTGTATACCAACTGGTAGACCGTTCATGTAGACAATGAACATTACCGGTGTGTGTGTGTGTGTGTGTGTGTGTGTGTGTGTGTGTGTGTGTGTGTGTGTGTGTGTGTGTGTGTGTGTGTGTGTGTGTGTGTGTGTGTGTACTCACCTAGTTGTACTTACCTAGTTGTGCTTGCGGGGGTTGAGCTCTGGCTCTTTGATCCCGCCCCTCAACCGTCAATCAACAGGTGTACAGATTCCTGAGCCTATTGGGCTCTATCATATCTACACTTGAAACTGTGTATGGAGTCAGCCTCCACCACATCACTTCCTAATGCATTCCATTTGTCAACCACTCTGACACTAAAAAAGTTCTTTCTAATATCTCTGTGGCTCATTTGGGCGCTCAGTTTCCACCTGTGTCCCTTTGTGCGTGTGCCCCTTGTGTTAAATAGCCTGTCTTTATCTACCCTATCAATTCCCTTCAGAATCTTGAATGTGGTGATCATGTCCCCCCTAACTCTTCTGTCTTCCAGCGAAGTGAGGTTTAATTCCCGTAGTCTCTCCTCGTAGCTCATACCTCTCAGCTCGGGTACTAGTCTGGTGGCAAATCTTTGAACCTTTTCCAGTTTAGTCTTATCCTTGACTAGATATGGATTCCATGTTGGGGCTGCATACTCCAGGATTGGCCTGACATATGTGGTATACAAAGTTCTGAATGATTCTTTACACAAATTTCTGAATGCCGTTCGTATGTTGGCCAGCCTGGCATATGCCGCTGATGTTATCCTCTTGATATGTGCTGCAGGAGACAGGTCTGGCGTGATATCAACTCCCAAGTCTTTTTCTTTCTCTGACTCCTGAAGAATTTCCTCTCCCAGATAATACCTTGTATTTGGCCTCCTGCTCCCTGCACCTATCTTCATTATATTACATTTGGTTGGGTTAAACCCTAACAACCACTTGTTCGACCATTCCTGCAGTTTGTCTAGGTCTTCTTGAAGCCTCAAACAGTCCTCTTCTGTCTTAATCCTTCTCATAATTTTGGCATCGTCCGCAAACATTGAGAGAAATGAATCTATACCCTCCGGGAGATCATTTACATATATCAGAAACAAGATAGGACCGAGTACAGAGCCCTGTGGGACTCCACTGGTGACTTCACGCCAATCGGAGGTCTCACCCCTCACCGTAACTCTCTGCTTTCTATTGCTTAGGTACTCCCTTATCCACTGGAGCACCTTACCAGCTACACCTGCCTGTCTCTCCAGCTTATGTACCAGCCTCTTATGCGGTAGTGTGTCAAAGGCTTTCCGACAATCCAAGAAAATGCAGTCCGCCCAGCCCTCTCTTTCTTGCTTAATCTGTGTTACCTGGTCATAGAATTCTATTAAGCCAGTCAGGCAAGATTTACCCTCCCTGAACCCATGTTGTCGATTTGTCACGAAGTCCCTTCTCTCCAGATGTGCTACCAGGTTTTTTCTCACGATCTTCTCCATCACCTTGCATGGTATACAAGTTAAGGACACTGGCCTGTAGTTCAGTGCCTCTTGCCTGTCGCCCTTTTTGTATATTGGGACCACATTCGCCGTCTTCCATATTTCTGGTAGGTCTCCCATCTCCAGTGACCTACTATACACTATGGAGAGTGGCAAGCAAAGTGCCTTTGCACACTCTTTCAGTACCCATGGCGAGATCCCGTCTGGACCAACAGCCTTTCTAACATCCAGGTCCAGCAGGTGTCTCTTGACCTCCTCTCTCGTAATTTCAAACTCTTCCAAGGCCGCCTGGTTTTCTTCCCTTTCTCCTAGCACAGTGACCTCACCTTGTTCTGTTGTGAAGACCTCTTGGAACCTCTTGTTGAGTTCATCACACACCTCTTTGTCATTCTCTGTATACCTGTCCTCGCCTGTTCTAAGTTTCACTACCTGTTCTTTCACTGTTGTTTTCCTTGTGATGTGACTGTGGAGTAGCTTTGGTTCGGTCTTGGCTTTGTTTGCTATATCATTTTCATAACTTTTCTCTGCTTCTCTTCTCACCCTGACATACTCATTCCTGGTTCTCTGGTATCTCTCTCTGCTTTCTGGTGTTCTGTTATTCCGGAAGTTCCTCCACGCCCTTTTGTTCAGGGTGTGTGCGTGTGTGTGTGTGTGTGTGTGTGTGTGTGTGTGTGTGTGTGTGTGTGTGTGTGTGTGTGTGTGTGTGTGTGTGTGTGTGTGTGTGTGTATAGAGGCTCTGCTGACTGCCTCCCCTCCCACAGGGTGGCCAGACAGGTGAGGGCTGTGTCGCAGGTGGGGGAGTGTGTGTGAGGAGCCAGGATGTCTGCCCCGCCCCTCTCCCCGACAACAATGACTGTCCCGACGGCGCCACCTGCTGCATCAGTAAGTATACTCCTCTTCCCAGCCAGGCAAGGAACAGTATACTCACAATGGAACAATCCGAATCCGAATCCAAGACCTTAGGACGGGTAAGCAGGGGATGGAAGGCTGGGGCGAAGGTGCAGACAACTTGGGCAGGGAAAATGGTACAAGTCGGAGAGCGTGGCACAGCTCGGTGGGCCAACCACCGCGGGTTTGACTTAGCAGTGATACTGCACGGCGCTCACTTTGTTCATTTGCATCCCTGGGCGCACGGGGGCTCGGTTACTAGCAGCTGGCAGTTGGTGGTTGTTGTTGGTGCTACTTCAACCTTGGGTCTTCGTTTGTCGATCTTCTGACTTCAGAGCTCTTCTTACTTCTTCCTTCTGGCATTTTCTGTCTGGCTCGAGTCGTTGGTCTTCTTGGGCTTCGCGGTAGTCTTGCTTCTTGTTGACATTGCTGTGTTGTCGTTCGAGGTCGTGGGCGTGGTGTCCAGAAGGAAATATTCAGGACTGCAGATGCCCTTCCGTTTAGGAGGGGATCCCAGCTGAGACATAAATCAATAAATAAATAATAAATGTTTATTTAGGTAAGGCACATCTTCGTCTGACGAATCGCTTGAGTCAAAGGCAGAGGCGGTGGTTCTAGGAGGTTGAGTCGTGGCAGGTCCTGTAGCTAGAGTAGACGGTTCAGTGGGCGTGTACAAGGTCTGTGGCGCGATGGTAGTAGTTAGTTCTAAGAGAGGCAGGGCGGCAGACTGTGCAGCTGTAGGGATGGTGGGCGGGGCTGCAGCAGGTGTCGTCGGAGGTGAAGTCGTCGGTTCCGGGGCTGCTTCCTCCACTGTGGCTGTTGGAGCCGGTATTGCTGTGGCGAATGTTGGGTCGGTGGTTGGCTGTAATGGGGTGGTGATGGTGACGGCTGGTTCAGTGAGTGGTTGGTGGGCTGGGGGCTGGCCCGCCATTGTCTATGATGCTGTGCAGTAGCTCTTCCTCCTCCTGGTAGCCCCTGGAAAATGCCGGCTTGGATGTTGAATGGCGACGGTGCTCGGCGAGCGGCGTTAGTAGTGGAGGAAATTGAAATTGAAATTGAAATAAGTTTATTGAGGTAAAATACACACAAAGGGATGAGGTAGCTCAAGCTATTCTCACCCCATTCAGTACAACGTGTTAATATATACATAGACACACATCTCAAACAATAAACATATTACCAAACATTCTGAGAGGTAAACATATACATTTCCTCCTTCACAAGTAGTATGGTATCAGACGTACACATAAATACTTTTATGACCTAGGTATACTGTATAGACAATTTGCAAGACACCTGCAGATAATTCAACAAAATATTACAATCTTGGTGCAAAATTCTTATATCTCTCAAGAATATCATCAACCTTTCCGTTGTGACACATCCAGGCTATTTGTTCAGGAACAGTCCTTATCTCAGTGTTTCTATATACATTAATCAAGGGACAATCAAGAATATAATGGGCAAGGGGCAGGAGTGGAGGAGGCAGCTAGGGCGCCTCAAGTCCTCAAGTTTCCGTATGTCGTCCTGTCGATGGGAGGTGGCCATGTGGTTGCTATTGCAGACTAGACAACGTTGAATTTTGGCCTTGCAAATGGTGTAGTGGTGGTCTTCCGTGCAGATGTCAGTCTGTCAACTGTCAATCAATCAACTGTTACTAACTATCCTGTTTCTGACATACGTAAACGATCTCCCGGAGGGTATAGACTCATTCCTCTCAATGTTTGTTAATGATACCGAAATTATGAGAAGAATTAAGACAGAGGAGAACAGCATGAAGATTCAAGAAGACCTGGACAAACTGAAGGAATGATCCAACAAATGGTCGTTAGAATTTAATCTGAGCAAATGTAATGTGATGAAGATAGGTGTAGGGAGCAGGAGGCCAGATACAAGGTACCATTTGGAAAATTAAAATCTTCAAGAGTAAGAGACAGAGAAAGACCTGGGGGTTGATATCACGCCAGACCTGTCCCCTGAAGCCCATATCAAGAGGAAAACATCAGCGGCATATGTCAAGTTGGCCAACATAAGAATGGCCTTTAGAAACTTATGTAAGGAATCATGCATAAGGATATACCACATTTGTCAGACCAATCCTGGAGTATGCAGCTCCAGCATGGAGTCCATATCTCGCCAAACATGACTAAATTGGAGAAGATTCAGAGGTTTGCCACCAAACTAGTAACCGAACTGAGGGGCATGAGCTATGAGGAGAGACTACAGGAATTAAACCTCACGTCGCTGGAAGACAGAAGCGTTAGTGGAGACATGATTACCACATAAAAGATTCCCAGAGGAGTTGACAGGGTAGATAAACACAGTTTATTTAACACAAGGGGCACGTACACTAGGGGACATAGATGGAAACTGAGTACCCAAATGAGCCACAGAGATATTAGAAAGAACTTTTTCAGTGTCAGAGTAGTTAAGAGGTAGAATGCATTAGGAAGTAATGTGGTGGAGGCTGACTCCATACACAGTTTCAAGTGTAGATATGATAGAGCCCAGTAGGCTCAGGAACCTGTACACCAGTTGATTGACAGTTGAGAGGCGGGACCAAAGAGCCAGAGCTCAACCCCCGCAAGCACAACTAGGTGAGTTCACACATGGGGCCTCGTGGCTGAGTGAACAGCGTCCGGGGGTCGTAGTCTTAAGGGCCCGAGTTTGATTTCCGGCCGAGGGAGAAACAAATGAGCAGTTTCTTTCACCCTGATACACCTGTCCACCTAGCATTAAATCAGTATCTGGGAGTTAGACAGCTGCTACGGGCTGCTTCCTTGGTGTGTGTGTGTGTACTCACCTATTTGTGCTTGCGAGGGTTGAGCTTTGGCTCTTTGGTCCCGCCTCTCAACTGTCAATCAACTGGTGTACAGGTTCCTGAGCCTATTGGGCTCTATCATATCTACATTATAAACTGTGTATGGAGTCAGCCTCCACCACATCACTGCCTAATGCATTCCATCCGTTAACTACTCTGACACTGAAAAAGTTCCTTCTAACGTCCCTGTGGCTCATGTGGGCACTCAGTCTCCACCTGTGTCCCCTTGTTCGCGTCCCACCAGTGTTGAATAGTTTGTCCTTGTTTACCCGGTCGATTCTTCTGAGGATTTTGTAGGTTGTGATCATGTCTCCCCTTACTCTTCTGTCTTCCAGTGTCGTAAGGTGCATTTCCCGCAGCCTTTCCTCGTAACTCATGCCTCTTAGTTCTGGGACTAGTCTAGTGGCATACCTTTGGACTTTTTCCAGCTTCGTCTTGTGCTTGACAAGGTACGGGCTCCATGCTGGGGCCGCATACTCCATACACATACTGTGTGTGAGTGTGTACTCACCTAATTGTGCTTGCGGGGGTTGAGCTCTGGCTCTTTGGTCCCGCCTCTCAACCGTGTGTGTGTGTGTGTGTGTGTGTGTGTGTGTGTGTGTGTGTGTGTGTGTGTGTGTGTGTGTGTGTGTGTGTGTGTGTGTGTGTGTGTGTGTGTGTGTGTGTGTGAGTGTGTGTGTGAGTGTGTGTGTGTGTTAGAGAGAAGTATGTGTTGTAGATATAACAGAGGAAAGTTAGACAGGTTAGAGAGGCGGGGTCCAAGAACTAATAGCTGGACTCTGCAGATACAAATAGTAAATACACACACACACACGATGACGGTAAACTACCTCGTTATAACGACTAAAGAAAAAGACCGGCGGACACAGCCCCAAACCTAACTTCAGATCAGAGGCTGATGCTTTATTTATTTATTTATTTATTTATTTATTTATTTATTTATTTATTTATATACAAGACGATACATTGGGTTGAGAGAGAACATAACATTGTTCTTACAGTCTTGTAAAGCCACTAACACGCATAGCGTTTCGTGCAGGTTCTTAATCTAACTAATAAAGAGTCCCTGTGGTAGGACTCGCACAGGAATATCCCTGCCCCCCTCCTCCCCAAAAAAAAGTCCCCGTGGTGTAGTGGTAAGACACTCGCCTGGCGTTCCGCGAGCGCTTTGTCATGAGTTCGTATCCTGGCCGGGGAGGATTGACAGGGCACAGATCCTTAACTGTAGCCTCTGTAGCCTCAACAGTAAAATGGGTTCTTGATTATTTAACGATTTGGCGGGTCGTATTCCTGGGAACATGGGATTAAGGTCTTGCGTGAAACGATATGGGTTCTAGTGGCTGTACAAAATGTAAGAACTGAACAAATCCACAAGGGCCGTGTTGAGGGTTCGAACTTACGTCCGGAATGATCCCAGATACTGCCTTAGTCGACTAGTCCACATGGTCAAAAGAATTGCAACCGGGAATTCCCTGGAACCCTCATCACGGCCCTTGTGGATCTGTTCATTTGATGCATCACACTATTGTGATTTGTGTAATGTGAGAACTGTTGTATAAGACATACTGGACTGGGGGAGTGTGTGGTAGTTGTTGTTGTTCAAGATTCAGCTACTGGGAACTAAAAGTTCCAAGTAGCACGGGCTATGGTGAGCCCGTGATGGACTTACCTGGCACAGGGCTGAAACTTTGTGTGTGGTAGGGACGGGCAGGAAGTATAGAGATGTAGGGGAGGTGGTGACTGAGGTAGGTGGCAAGGTAGGGCAGAGTGCATGCCTTCATCCTCATGTGGAGTGTGGGCGAGGTAAACAAAAGATGAGGTAGCTTCTATGTTCCTCCCTCACTTGCCCTCCCCCACTCCCCATGTGTGGCAGCCTTGACTCCCCCCCCCCATCCCCGGGGGGAGACACCCTCGTCCCCATGTATTAACTGGTGGTCGGTCCCTTACCTTTCCTTGTCCCTTACCACCCGTCTGGTGACTCACGGAGCAACACGCAGTATCCCACACAAGGAAAACTCCTGGACGCCATGTTCCCCGTCTCCCCGGAAGTGGGAGGGAATAAACACAAATAATTCCCGCCCTCGGGTCTAACTGGCAACGGTTATTTATTCCCAAATAGTAGGGTGATAACAGGCCTCAGATTGGCTAATCCACGCCTCAGAGTGGCTAATCCACGCCTCAGATTGGCTAATCCACGCCTCAGAGTGCCTAATCCAGGCCTCAGAGTCGCTAATCCACGCCGTTGACCGCTTTATCTTTAATCCAATTAATGCGTAACGACACTGAAATTGAGCTGATCCCACATGTCTCCCGATTAACTGGAATACCCCCCCCCCCACTGCAACAGTACCTTTATCCCACAATTCTCGGTAACGCTAATGAGATGTAGAAGCTGTTGACCAGACCACACACTTGAAAGTGAAGGGACGACGACGTTTCGGTCCGTCCTGGACCATTCTCAAGTCCTGTACAAGCTGTCCAAGATAAGTTACTCCACACCGTTACAACAGTTGTGTCTACAATGTTAACTATGTAATAACTCAAATCCGTTGACGTCTTGGACTAAATACTCTCACATTTTACCTTACAAGTTTAAGCACATTTCTACTTTGTTCACCTATGCCTATATGTGCACAATATAGGCATAGGTGCACATATAGGCATAGAACAATTCAAACTACCAAATTGAACACTATCATATTCTTAATAAATTTTATGACAAAAATTATTCCAGTAATTCGTTCTTACATAGGATTATTTATGCTCTGTTTCCCTGAATTATGCGAGCGTTAATGAGACTCTTATCTTCACCATTAGCTGAAATTAATCTTCTGTATGGATTTTCTGTATGTGTGATTAACATCTATTCTACTCAAAATTCTACCCTTTATTACTGTTAGCACAAGACCAAACTCAACCCCACAACGAGAACAATATCTATTATTCCCGAAAAAATTTCAGATTTCCGCCAATTAAGACACTCGCGAAGCCCACATTCAGTCCCACATCAGGAATTATCAAGCATCACTTCCTGTGGAAGACTGACACTTGCACCAACATGCGATGCTCTCCGCCACTGATGCCCAATAGTCTCCAACCTTAAATGTCCCAAACACTAATCTTGAATGAGTGAAATTGAAATAAGTGTATTGAGGTAAAATACACACAAAGGGATGAGGTAGCTCAAGCTATTTTCACCCAGTTCAGTACACGTGTTAATACATGCATATACACACATCACAAATAATAAATTGTTAAATTAGGCATTGTATGTACTAGCCCTATCTATAAATCCATCACTCTTTGTAAAATCTCTTGTATGTATGTACCGTACCTAAATAAACATTTGATTTGATTTGAATAAACATATTCTTGAATGAGTAAATTAAAGAAAAGAAAATATTTACACAAGGTGCCAAGGTCACGACCCTGTTACTGAACAAAGTTCTGTTACTCCTACGGCCTTAATTCTAAATGTCTGTCTACTCCAAATGTCAGGATTACCTTCAGGAACCCTACTGGTATCTCTGTCCACTCTGACACATGGGATTACCGCCAGACTCGTCAGGCTTGTTGTATCGGGGGTGAAATGAAATTGGGGAAAGGAAAGAGATGAATAATGTAGTAATGAGTGAGGGTTTGGGGTGAGACTCCGGAACAGTACGTCACTTTTGTGAGTCGATTTCATTTCAAATTACGTCCAAATTTGGCCATAGTGCGCATACGAGCGAAAAGTGACGTTATTTTTAAGAGGACGGGTTGGAGAGAGAGAGGTGGAAAGGAGGTGGGAAGAGAAAGAAGTGGAGTCTCTTTGAATGGGAAAGTTTGACGAGAGGCGGAGGGAGAGGAGGGAGAGAGAGAGTAGGAAGTAATAATAATAATAATAATAATAATAATAATAATTTTTATTTAGGCAAAGGTACATACATAAAGAGATTTTACAAAGTTTGTTGGCTTTATAGATAAGAGCTAGTACATACAATGCCTAAAGCCACTATTACGCAATCGTTTCGGGCAGGAAAAAACACTACTGACTAAAGCTTAAAACTAATGGGTAAAAAGAAAAAAATGCGTTGAGTACAAATAAAAATAGAGGTAAAAGAGGGGGGAACATTGTTGAAAAAACAGCACAAATACAATTACAAATTATTACAGAAAATTACATTAAAACAGCGTTGATTTGAAAAAAAAAAAAAAAAAAACATACATGGGTTGACAATAGAGGGGTAAGGTGGTAATGGTAGAGGTAGAGGTAGAGGTAATGGTAGAGGTAGAAGGGTAGTTAGGTAGAAGAAGAAAAGTAGAAGTAGAAAGGGCTGCCACCATCCATTCTAGCTCAGTACATACACGACAAGAAATGGAACTTGTGTGTACTTTAAGCTGTTAACAAATGTTAACGTTTATCATATATTATCTGCTGTAAGCCTGTACTTATACTCTTCAGTAAACTCAGGAGTGCTACTCACTCTAGTTTGCAATATATCACAAAAAAAACAAGATCTAGGGAACACAAAGTCAGATTAAAAAGTCAGTTAATCAAGTATATTTAACATTATAAGTATCATAATTCAAGCAATTTAACTTAATGTTCACTATGTCAGGATTACTATACAATATGAGCCATTACACAAGACCTTGAGGACACTACGCCTGCCTGCCCCTGATAACCACACAACACCTCAAGTTTGGGAAACACAAAATAAGTCACCGTCACGTTCAACTCACCAAGGACTGAGTCTAATCTGGATAGAGAGGGGTGGAGGGGGCTGACAGCCAGGCAGAGTCCCCACCCAGTCTGACAGCCTCGACTGGCTGCTGTTCAATCGTCCAGCTTCTGTTCTGTTCTCTGCTGATGCTGCTATGCTCTCGAATGTACAGTTCCCTGGATATTTATTGCGAATCTGGGAGCTAAACTCCACCCACATGTAAGATAGCCTAAGGCTCTCTACAAACCATACCTTAACCAGCGGCTTGTTTGATGGAATGACTCCACCAACCGTCGGCTTAACAGAAGCAAGGTCACTTCACACGACCTGACCCCTGGACAACTTGTGGTCATTAACACTCTAGAGGTGTGAGTTCTTAATTACTAAGTTCAGACAACCCGGCGCCTCTCAAATTCAAATCAAATAAAATCAAATCAAATGTTTATTTAGGTAAGGTACATACATACAAGAGATTTTACAAAGAGTGATGGATTTATAGTTAGGGCTAGTACATACAATGCCTAAAGCCACTATTACGCAAAGCGTTTCGGGCATGAAAAACTTAAATGACTAAAGCTTAATACTAATTGAGCATAAAGAATAAAATGAGTTGAGAACAAAAAATAAAAAAAAGATAAAAAGGGGGGAACATGGCTGAAAAAGCAGCACAAATACAATTCGGTCGACAAACAGCGTCATTTAAAAAAAAAACAGACATTGGTTGACAATTTAACATGGTTGGGAAGGTCATTCCACATTCTGGGTCCCTTGATTTGAAGAGCATTTCTAGTTTGATTAAGTCGTACTCTAGGAATATCAAAACTGTATTTGTTTCTGGTGTGGTGCTCATGGGTTCTGTTACAACCTTCTATGAAGCTTTTGAGGACAGGATTGGCATTACAGTTCAGCGTTTTATATATGTATAATACACATGAGAGAATATGCAGTGACTTAGTATCTAACATATTCAGAGATTTGAATAGGGGTACCGAGTGATGTCTGGGGCCAGAGTTGGATATTGTCCTAATAGCAGCTTTGTGTTGAGTAATTAGAGGACGTAAATGATTTTGGGTAGTAGAACCCCAAGCACAAATACCATAGTTGAGATATGGATAGATGAGGGAGTAATAGAGAGTCACCAGGGCAGGGCGAGGTACATAATATCTGAATCTAGAAAGAATGCCAACAGTTTTAGAAACATTTTTAGCTATATTTTGAATGTGACCCTTGGAAATTCAGCTTGTTATCAATGAGAACACCAAGGAATTTACCATCTACTTTGTAACTAATTTGGATTTGGTTAATTCTTAGATTAATGACTTATGATGTATGAATGTTGCAAAGACTTCCTGGGAAGTGGCACTCAAGGGACGTTTTACCGACAGGCAAGGAAGCACTCCAGAGGGCCAGACACACAGGCCAGATGAGTGAAGGATCCGGAAGAGTGGAGAGCCACGCACTCAACGACCCCCATAACCAACGCACAACCCTTCATCCCGACGCTAACACACCCTTGAGAGCGAACGGCAACCAGCGATCAAAACACCGCGGACTTGCACACAAGGAAACCTTCAAAAAGAATCCTGATAGAAGGAAAGAAACAAACAAATCGAATAAACAGCGGGCGAAAGAGAAGACGAGACAGCGTAAACAAAATAGAGAACGAGGGAGAAACAACAGACATAAAGGAGCGAGAAAGCCTGGGAAGCGAGCAAGACAGAAAGAGAAACAGAATAAAGAAGAGACGAGACACAGAACACAGAACAAGAGAACAAGAGAACAAGACCAAGACACAGACCAGAGTGGCAAGCGAAGGAGTGAACACCACACAGCCTCACCCCACAACCAAGAACACAACGGTCCACCACAGAAGAAAGAACATAAAACTCAAGAACAGAATATAGAACACAAAGATCAAACAAAAGAAAAAGAACCCAAAGAAGTAAGCAATGAACACGGTCAAGAAACAAATAATAAAGAAATTCAGAAGAAAATAGTAAAGATAAGAATTGCTAAAGACAAACAAGAAACAAAGAATGACAATCATCGCTTGAATCAAAACAAGAAAAACAAGTCAATGCTCAAGAAAGCGAGCAACACAACTCTCACAAATAAAGAACAAAGGAACATTCCGAAGAACAAGGAAACCACAGAACACAAACACAAGGATAGAACCAAAGCCAATAACAATGAACAGCCAATAAGAACAAAAATGTGCGAACAAGCGACAGATCACCGAGGAGTGTTCGAAAATGAACGTCGTCGAGAACAAGAGAACACAATAACACGGAACACAATAACAGACAAGAATGGACTTCGCAGATTAGACGGGAAGGTAAAAGTACATAAGAATACGCATCGTAAAGAACAAGAGAAACGGAAGAACAAAGAAATATCCAAGAATGGTCTACGTCAAGAGAAAGAACAAGGTAGACAGAAGAAGAACAAAGAAATATCCAAGAATGGTCTACGTCAAGAGAAAGAACAAGGTAGACAGAAGAAGAACAAAGAAATATCCAAGAATGGTCTACGTCAAGAGAAAGAACAAGGTAGACAGAAGAAGAACAAAGAAATATCCAAAAATGGTCTACGTCAAGATAAAGAACAAGGTAGACAGAAGAACAAAGAAATATCCAAGAATGGTCTACGCCAAGATAAAGAACGAGGTAGACAGAAGAAGAACAAAGAAATATCCAAGAATGGAGAACGTCAAGAGAAAGAACAAGGTAGACAGAAGAAGAACAAAGGCATACCCAAGAATGGAGAAGGTCAAGATAAAGAACAAGCCAAGAAGCAGCACAAGACGGAGGCGGGACCAACCATCCAGAGGGACCTCAAGTCAGCCAAGAATAAGCAGCTGCTTCAAGGTAAGGACAATTTTATGTCAAATTTAGTTATCCATTTGTATTTACTGTGAGTTAGGTTCAGGTTAAGTATTGGACCCGCATATAGGTTATTGGAACCGAAACCGGTTAGGAAATTTAGTGATACCTTTGGCTAGAAACTCATCCAGGTCCCCATTTGCACCCACTCCTGGATGTAAGTGGGTGAGCTGATCCTGCAACCCGTCCTCACATTAGGCTGGTTAAAGCAGCGGCCGTCCTCCACAGACGCATTCATTAGTTTTAACATACTGTGTATTCAAAACTGGTTTGTTCTCATATATAAATTAATATTATTATACATAAAAATTCCATGTATAGTTAGGCGTAGGTTAGGTTAGGTGTTTAGGTTCTATTGGCGATTATTTGTATTTGTAGTACGTGGGTGAAGCATTTACAGCAACCCATCCTCGACTCAAGTCCATTCAACCCGTCCTCGACTCAAGTCCATTACATCCAGCGGTCAACCCCACAGACGCATTCATAAATTTTAACATGCTGTTCATTCAAAACGGGAATTTTCTCAAGTATAAATTAATATTATAATATATTAACATATTGTGTATATATAGGCATAGGTTAGGTTAGGTTAGGTTAGGTGTTTAGGTTCTGTTGGTGATTATTTGTATTTGTAGTACGTGGGTGAAGCATTTACAGCGTTGTGATTCGAACAAAATTCGTCAGTGAAACACTTGTTCCGGATATGTTCGAACGTCAGCAGTTGTGAGTCGGTTGTAAACCACTTTTCATTCATAAACAGGGGGTTTGGCGGGTGCATGGAATCACTTTTGGATCTTTGTTTGGAGGACGGGCTGGTCCATTACATTCAGCGGTCGACCCCACAGACGCATTCATAAATTGTAACATGCTGTTCATTCAAAACGGGAATTTTCTCAAGTATAAATTAATATTATAATATATTAACATATTGTGTATATATAGGCATAGGTTAGGTTAGGTGTTTAGGTTCTGTTGGTGATTATTTGTATTTGTAGTACGTGGGTGAAGCATTTACAGCGTTGTGGTTCGAACAAAATTCGTCAGTGAAGCACTTTTTCCGGATATGTTCGAACGTCAGCAGTTGTGAGTCGTGTGTAAACCGCTTTTCATTCATAAATAGGGGGTTTGGCGGGTGCATGGAATCACTTTTGGATCTTTGTTTGGAGGACGGGCTGTTTACAGCGTTGTGGTTCGAACAAAAGTAGTTAGTGAAGCACTTGTTCCGGAAGTGTTCGAACGTCATCAGTTGTGAGTCGTGTGTAAACCGTTTTTCATTACCATTTATCATACTAATTCGCTATTTTGTTATGTAGTATGATAATTATCGTACTAATTCGCTATTATTTTGAATATGGAACTAAAGAGGAGAATATGGAGGTGCTTGCAGAGAGTATTTACAACTACATTAATATAAATTACATGACAAGTATGCTCATAAAAATAATAAGGAAAGGAAACAGGTAGTTTGCCACAATGGTGGAGATAATCACACGTGTTTCAAGAGTCCAACTTCACTCTACGTGATGACCAAAGCACACATCACAAGATGGAGAAACGACGACGTTTCGATCCGTCAAATTGGACCATTAACAAGTCGTGTCTGACCCGATATCTCACATCAGCCCGTCCTCCAAACAAAGATCCAAAAGTGATTCCATGCACCCGTCAAACCCCCTGTTTATGAATGAAAAGCGGGTTACACACGACTCACAACTGCTGACGTTCGAACATATCCGGAACAAGTGCTTCACTGACGAGTTTTGTTCGAACCACAACGTTATAAATGCTTCAACCACGTACTACAAATACAAATAATCGCCAACAGAACCTAAACACCTAACCTAACCTATCCTATGCCTATATATACACAATATGCTAATATATTATAATATTAATTTATACTTGAGAAAATTTCCGTTTTGAATGAACAGCATATTAAAATTTATGAATGCGTCTGTGGGGTTGACCGCTGAATGTAATGGACATGAGTCGAGGACGGGTTGCTCACATATACTGAACCGAATAACGCCACGGACCGAAACGTCGACGTTTCTCCATTGTCTGATGTGTGGTTTGGTCCTCATGTCAAGCCACATTAGTGCGACTCATCCCTCCACTTGACACCACTATTCCATTGCAGCGTGCACCATTAGGAGAAAATGCAAGAATCAAGGCGGTAGCTGCAAGAGTGAGTGTTCAGCCAGTGAGCGCTACGTCAAGAGAGGTTGTCGAGGACCTTCCTGCTGGTGCTGCGCCCCACACAGTGAGTACTCGGTCTTAGGAACACGACCAACTTTCTTGCAGAGACTGGCGCCACGGTCCTGACCACAAACTCGAGGCGAGGTCCAGGGCCACGGTCCTGACCACAAGCTCGAGGCGAGGTCCTGGGCCACGGTCCTGACCACAAGCTCGAGGCGAGGTCCAGGGCCACGGTCCTGATCACAGGGCGGGGTCTAGAGCGGTCAGGTCCCTACCGAGAGACTGTAGAGACCCCGAAGCCCCTCTACAACACACACCAGCGAGGACAGGTCTTTATATATGCTTGTAGCAGCGCGGTGGTAGTCACTGTTCTTGTAGAGGTCGGCAGCAGCTTGTAGGAGAGTGGGCAGCCCGCGAGGCACTGCCCTGGTCAAACAAGTGACCACGGGGTCGCTCAAGGCTTGACCCCAACACACCAAGGAGTGTAAGCTGCGTCCTGGTATTCCATGGGTAAGGCAACTTAGGTGCGCTATACTGAATACTATACAATCTTATACAATACAATATACACTGTGTACACAATATATACAGTATACAATATACACTGTGCAATATTCTATACAATATCCTGAAGAATTCACTATTCACGTGAATAATAGCAGAATTTGTTATACAATATACAATTCGGGAACAATATGCAACACAATGCTATATAATTATATAATTATATAATGTATATTAAATAGTGGACTTTAAATTCAATTTCTCAAAAAAAAAAAATAATTGTAGAAACGCTGGTTCATATTTTTTGTTTTTTAATTGTTTCTTTTTGTTTTTAATTATTCCTTGGTGCAGGAGAGCGCTCTAGCTTGTGCTAGAGAAGGTAATTACTAGGAATGAAGTGATTGACAGGCCACCATTGCTAGGAATGGCCCAGTGGACACAGTATTCAACGTTAATTTAACGTTGGTAACGTTAAACTGTTTGTCTTGCATATATGTCCACTGGGAAACTGTTTTGACAATACTACTCTTATAAACACTCATATAAATAATTTAAGAGTAAAATTATAAACAAAATGTCAATGTTAAAATTAATTTTGTTTATTCCTGGTGCCAGTGAGTATAATTTTTGTTTACAACATTTCAAACATCCCCCCCCCCCATCCCAAGAGTGAAATGTATTTGTTAACCCCAACATGTTTCACTCGAGTGCCTGGTATATGTAACGTGAACCTTGTTACCCTGCAGAGTGCAAACTTAAGAAGAAGTGCAGGAAGCACCGCGGCTCGTGCAAGGCGGCCTGTGCTGCCAACGAGCGCCTTATCACTAAGGGCTGCCGGGGTCCCTCCTGCTGGTGCTGCGCGCCGCCTCCCAGTTAGTCTCTCGCCTATTTATTGATTTACTTATGGACGGGATGTATTAGTAAAGTTCTTGATGATTAACTGGTCATTCTCGCAAGGTCCTAACGTTAATGACGTGTGTGTGTGTGTGTGTACTCACCTATTTGTACTTGCAGGATCGAGCATTGACTCTTGGATCCCGCCTTTCCAGCTGTGTGTGTGTGTGTGTGTGTGTGTAATTACCTAAGTGTAGTTACAGGATGAGAGCTACGCTCGTGGTATCCCGTCTTCCCAGCACTCTTTGTCATACAATGCTTTGAAACTACTGACGGTCTTGGCCTCCACCACCTTCTCACCTAACTTGTTCCAACCGTCTACCACTCTGTTTGCGAAAGTGAATTTTCTTATATTTCTTTGGCATCTGTGTTTAGCTAGTTTAAATCTTAAAGTTCCAGGTCTCAGGAAATCTTCCCTATCGATTTTATCAATTCCTGTTACTGTTTTGTATACACACACACACACTCCTTGTGTGTGTGTGTATGCATGCATGTGCGTGTACCCACCTAGTTTTACTCACCTAGTGGTGTTTGCGGGGGTTGAGCTCTGGCTCTTTGGTCCCGCCTCTCAACTGTCAATCAACAGGTGTACAGGTTCCTGAGCCTACTGGGCTCTATCATATCCACATTTAAAACTGTGTATGGAGTCAGCCTCCACCACATCACTGCCTAATGCATTCCACCTGTTAACTACTCTGACACTGAAAAAGTTCTGTCTAACGTCCCTGTGGCTCATTTGGGTACTCAGTCTCCACCTGTCTCCTTGTTCGCGTACCACCCGTGTTAAACAACTTATCCTTTTCAACCCTGTCAATTCCTCTGAGAATTTTGTAGGTAGTGATCACGTCTCCCCTTACTCTTGTCTTCCAGTGGTGTAAAGTGCATTTCCCGCAGCCTTTTCTCGTAACTCATGCCTCTTAGTTCTGGGACTAGTCTAGTGGCATACCTCTGAACTTTTTCCAGCTTCGTCTTGTGCTTGACAAGGTACGGGCTCCATGCTGGGGCCGCATACTCCAGGATTGGTCTTACATATGTGGTATACAAGATTCAGAATGATTCCTTACACAGGTTCCTGAAGGCGCGCGTGTGTGTGTGTGTGTGATTGGAAGGATTAGGTTAATGAAGGCATGACTAGTGTCTTATGTGTGTATAATTCTTCTCTCACTCTGGGCTCCAACAGAATGTAAAACCAAGAAGAAGTGCAGGAAGCGTGGAGGCTCCTGCAAGACCTCGTGTCCCGCCGGCGAGGCTCTCGTCCCCAGAGGCTGTAGAGGCCACTGCCAGTGTTGTGTGCTGGGTGCTGGAGGTGAGGTCTCTCTTGTGTACCAGTGGTGGGTGCTGGAGGTGAGGTCTCTCTTGTGTACCAGTGGTGGAGGTGAGGGCTCTCTTGTGTACCAGTGGTGGGTGCTGGAGGTGAGGTCTCTCTTGTGTACCAGTGGTGGAGGTGAGGTCTCTCTTGTGTACAAGTGGTGGAGGTGAGGTCTCTCTTGTGTACCAGTGTTGTGTGCTGGGTGCTGGAGGTGAGGTCTCTCTTGTGTACCAGTGGTGGGTGCTGGAGGTGAGGTCTCTCTTGTGTACCAGTGGTGGAGGTGGTCTCTCTTGTGTACCAGTGGTGGGTGCTGGAGATGAGGTCTCTCTTGTGTACCAGTGGTGGAGGTGAGGTCTCTCTTGTGTACAAGTGGTGGAGGTGAGGGCTCTCTTGTGTACCAGTGGTGGAGGTGAGGGCTCTCTTGTGTACCAGTGGTGGGTGCTGGAGGTGAGGTCACTCTTGTGTACCAGTGGTGGAGGTGAGGGCTCTCTTGTGTACCAGTGGTGGAGGTGAGGGCTCTCTTGTGTACCAGTGGTGGGTGCTGGAGGTGAGGTTTCTCTTGTGTACCAGTGGTGGAGGTGAGGGCTCTCTTGTGTACCAGTGGTGGAGGTGAGGTCTCTCTTGTGTACCAGTGGTGGAGGTGAGGTCTCTCTTGTGTACAAGTGGTGGAGGTGAGGTCTCTCTTGTGTACAAGTGGTGGAGGTGAGGTCTCTCTTGTGTACCAGTGTTGTGTGCTGGGTGCTGGAGGTGAGGTCTCTCTTGTGTACCAGTGGTGGGTGCTGGAGGTGAGGTCTCTCTTGTGTACCAGTGGTGGAGGTGAGGGCTCTCTTGTGTACCAGTGGTGGGTGCTGGAGGTGAGGTCTCTCTTGTGTACCAGTGGTGGTGAGGTCTCCCTTGTGTACCAGTGGTGGAGGTGAGGTCTCTCTTGTGTACCAGTGGTGGGTGCTGGAGGTGAGGTCACTCTTGTGTACCAGTGGTGGAGGTGAGGTCTCTCTTGTGTACCAGTGGTGGGTGCTGGAGGTGAGGTCTCTCTTGTGTACCAGTGCTGGAGGTGAGGTCACTCTTGTGTACCAGTGGTGGGTGCTGGAGGTGAGGTCACTCTTGTGTACCAGTGGTGGAGGTGAGGTCACTCTAGTGTACCAGTGGTGGAGGTGAGGTCACTCTTGTGTACCAGTAGTGGGTGCTGGAGGTGAGGTCACTCTTGTGTACCAGTGGTGGAGGTGAGGTCACTCGTGTGTACCAGTGGTGGGTGCTGGAGGTGAGGTCTCTCTTGTTTACCAGTGGTGGAGGTGAGGTCACTCTTGTTTACCAGTGGTGGAGGTGAGGTCACTCTTGTTTACCAGTGGTGGGTGCTGGAGGTGAGGTCACTCTTGTGTACCAGTGGTGGAGGTGAGGTCACTCGTGTGTACCAGTGGTGGGTTCTGGAGGTGAGGTCTCTCTTGTTTACCAGTGGTGGGTGCTGGAGGTGAGGTCACTCGTGTACCAGTGGTGGGTCCTGGAGGTGAGGTCACTCTTGTTTACCAGTGGTGGGTCCTGGAGGTGAGGTCACTCGTGTTTACCAGTGGTGGGTCCTGGAGGTGAGGTCACTCTTGTTTACCAGTGGTGGGTCCTGGAGGTGAGGTCACTCGTGTTTACCAGTGGTGGGTCCTGGAGGTGAGGTCTCTCTTGTTTACCAGTGGTGGGTCCTGGAGGTGAGGTCACTCGTGTTTACCAGTGGTGGGTCCTGGAGGTGAGGTCACTCGTGTTAACCAGTGGTGGGTCCTGGAGGTGAGGTCACTCGTGTTTACCAGTGGTGGGTCCTGGAGGTGAGGTCACTCATGTTAACCAGTGGTGGGTCCTGGAGGTGAGGTCACTCGTGTTTACCAGTGGTGGGTCCTGGAGGTGAGGTCACTCGTGTTTACCAGTGGTGGGTCCTGGAGGTGAGGTCACTCGTGTTTACCAGTGGTGGGTCCTGGAGGTGAGGTCACTCGTGTTTACCAGTGGTGGGTCCTGGAGGTGAGGTCACTCGTGTTTACCAGTGGTGGGTCCGGGAGGTGAGGTCACTCGTGTTTACCAGTGGTGGGTCCTGGAGGTGAGGTCACTCTTGTTTACCAGTGGTGGGTCCTGGAGGTGAGGTCACTCGTGTTTACCAGTGGTGGGTCCTGGAGGTGAGGTCACTCGTGTTTACCAGTGGTGGGTCCTGGAGGTGAGGTCACTCGTGTTTACCAGTGGTGGGTCCTGGAGGTGAGGTCACTCTTGTTTACCAGTGGTGGGTCCTGGAGGTGAGGTCACTCTTGTTTACCAGTGGTGGGTCCTGGAGGTGAGGTCACTCTTGTTTACCAGTGGTGGGTCCTGGAGGTGAGGTCACTCTTGTTTACCAGTGGTGGGTCCTGGAGGTGAGGTCACTCTTGTTTACCAGTGGTGGGTCCTGGAGGTGAGGTCACTCTTGTTTACCAGTGGTGGGTCCTGGAGGTGAGGTCACTCGTGTTTACCAGTGGTGGGTCCTGGAGGTGAGGTCACTCGTGTTTACCAGTGGTGGGTCCTGGAGGTGAGGTCACTCTTGTTTACCAGTGGTGGGTGCTGGAGGTGAGGTCACTCGTGTTTACCAGTGGTGGGTGCTGGAGGTGAGGTCACTCTTGTTTACCAGTGGTGGGTCCTGGAGGTGAGGTCACTCGTGTTTACCAGTGGTGGGTCCTGGAGGTGAGGTCACTCGTGTTTACCAGTGGTGGGTCCTGGAGGTGAGGTCACTCTTGTTTACCAGTGGTGGGTGCTGGAGGTGAGGTCACTCGTGTACCAGTGGTGGGTGCTGGAGGTGAGGTCACTCGTGTTTACCAGTGGTGGGTCCTGGATGTGAGGTCACTCGTGTTTACCAGTGGTGGGTGCTGAGGTGAGGTCACTCGTGTACCAGTGGTGGGTCCTGGATGTGAGGTCACTCTTGTTTACCAGTGGTGGGTCCTGGAGGTGAGGTCACTCGTGTTTACCAGTGGTGGGTCCTGGAGGTGAGGTCACTCGTGTACCAGTGGTGGGTCCTGGATGTGAGGTCACTCTTGTTTACCAGTGGTGGGTCCTGGAGGTGAGGTCACTCGTGTTTACCAGTGGTGGGTCCTGGAGGTGAGGTCACTCGTGTTTACCAGTGGTGGGTCCTGGAGGTGAGGTCACTCGTGTTTACCAGTGGTGGGTCCTGGAGGTGAGGTCACTCGTGTTTACCAGTGGTGGGTCCTGGAGGTGAGGTCACTCGTGTTTACCAGTGGTGGGTGCTGGAGGTGAGGTCACTCGTGTTTACCAGTGGTGGGTGCTGGAGGTGAGGTCACTCTTGTTTACCAGTGGTGGGTCCTGGAGGTGAGGTCACTCGTGTTTACCAGTGGTGGGTCCTGGAGGTGAGGTCACTCGTGTTTACCAGTGGTGGGTCCTGGAGGTGAGGTCACTCGTGTTTACCAGTGGTGGGTGCTGGAGGTGAGGTCACTCGTGTTTACCAGTGGTGGGTGCTGGAGGTGAGGTCACTCGTGTACCAGTGGTGGGTCCTGGAGGTGAGGTCACTCGTGTACCAGTGGTGGGTGCTGGAGGTGAGGTCACTCGTGTACCAGTGGTGGGTCCTGGAGGTGAGGTCACTCGTGTACCAGTGGTGGGTCCTGGAGGTGAGGTCACTCGTGTTTACCAGTGGTGGGTCCTGGAGGTGAGGTCACTCGTGTTTACCAGTGGTGGGTCCTGTAGGTGAGGTCACTCGTGTTTACCAGTGGTGGGTCCTGGAGGTGAGGTCACTCGTGTTTACCAGTGGTGGGTCCTGGAGGTGAGGTCACTCGTGTTTACCAGTGGTGGGTCCTGGAGGTGAGGTCACTCGTGTTTACCAGTGGTGGGTCCTGGAGGTGAGGTCACTCGTGTACCAGTGGTGGGTGCTGGAGGTGAGGTCACTCGTGTACCAGTGGTGGGTCCTGGAGGTGAGGTCACTCGTGTACCAGTGGTGGGTCCTGGAGGTGAGGTCACTCGTGTTTACCAGTGGTGGGTCCTGGAGGTGAGGTCACTCGTGTTTACCAGTGGTGGGTCCTGGAGGTGAGGTCACTCGTGTTTACCAGTGGTGGGTCCTGGAGGTGAGGTCACTCGTGTTTACCAGTGGTGGGTCCTGGAGGTGAGGTCACTCGTGTTTACCAGTGGTGGGTCCTGGAGGTGAGGTCACTCGTGTTTACCAGTGGTGGGTCCTGGAGGTGAGGTCACTCGTGTTTACCAGTGGTGGGTCCTGGAGGTGAGGTCACTCGTGTTTACCAGTGGTGGGTGCTGGAGGTGAGGTCACTCGTGTACCAGTGGTGGGTCCTGGAGGTGAGGTCACTCGTGTACCAGTGGTGGGTGCTGGAGGTGAGGTCACTCGTGTACCAGTGGTGGGTCCTGGAGGTGAGGTCACTCGTGTACCAGTGGTGGGTGCTGGAGGTGAGGTCACTCGTGTACCAGTGGTGGGTGCTGGAGGTGAGGTCACTCGTGTACCAGTGGTGGAGGTGAGGTCACTCGTGTACCAGTGGTGGGTCCTGGAGGTGAGGTCACTCGTGTACCAGTGGTGGGTAGCAGAGGTACACCACAGCTGGTAATTGCCATTGTGTAATATTGTTCCATTAATTTGCATCTGCTGAAATGTTTCCTGGTTACATGATAATTTAGAAGAAAGCTCTACTTTAATGTATTTTGTATGTGGTGTGAATTTGGTTGACATTAACCGAACTCCACTTCTAGTCTACCAAACTGTACATAAGGTGTCTGAGACATTCGTTCCTTCCTTACAACACATGAAAAAAATCATTCGATTTTGTAAATGTCTAGATGGTGTACTTGGCTGTGTCTGGATCGATCCCAAAAGTTTTCACTATTAATAAGTGCTGGCAGCCACCAGAATGGAAATCTTGCTTGCCAGTATCGGAATTCAGTAATTTAATGAACAAATGGTAAAACTCTATGGACTTGCATCTGAACATTTCACCTCTACCGACTTCATGAAGTTAAAATTCATGAAGATACTGTATATATACATAGGGGTACCACCTCTGGTGCAATTGTAGGGACCCATAGCCTCGAAGAAAAAAGTAAAATATATTCAAAGAAGACCTTGTGGATTATCACTGAACACACTAATATTTTCTTTTACCATCCCTATTCTTATGTATATACAGTATATATATACTGTATAAAATATATATCCCGCAATTAACTCTGATGAGCCTATCGGTCGCTCAGATGGGATCACAGTGAACCCCTGGAAGAATGGTAGACAGTTGGTGTGGGACTACACTTGCGTTTCAACCTTAGCCAACACCAGCGAGCATCAGAAGTATTACAGGAACAACCGTAGACATCTTCAAGAGGAAACTAGATTGTTTCCTTCAAGGAGTGCCGGACCAACTGGGCTGTGGTGGGTATGTGGGCCTGCCGGCCGCTCCAAGCAACAGCCTGGTGGACCAAACTCCCATAAGTCAAGTCTGGCCTCGGGCCGGGCTTGGGGAGTAGAAGAACTCCCAGAACCCCATCAACCAGGTATCAACCAGGTATCACCTATGTTAACTTCAGTGCTGTACAGGCAGGAGATGCTGCCAATTACCGGAAAGCAGCCAAGTCACGTAAATACAGAGACCTTGATCACCACTACAATTTTGTCCCCATTGCCTCAGAGACACTTGGTGCCTGCGGTAAAAGTGCTGCAAGTTTTTTTGGAGCTGGGGTCCAAGCTAATTGAAACAACTAGAGACCCTAGAGCCACCAGTTTTCTCTTTCAGCGCCTTAGTGTGGCGATCCAGAGAGGAAATGCTCACTGCATCCATGGTTCCTGCCCGCCATCTGAGGAGCTGGAGGAGCTATACAACTTGTGACAAGTAGCCTTATACCCTGCATGTAACCAATGTTGTAACCCTTTTTGTGTAATGAAATTTTAAAATAAAGTTAGATACAGTATATATATATACACACACATCCTAAAAGAATAGGGGTAGTAGGAGAAGAAAATATCAGTGTTCAGTGAGGATCCACAAGGTTTTCTCTGACACAGTACTCATTATTTTCTTCTCCGAGGCTATGGGTCCCTACACTTGCACCAGAGGTGGTACCCTTTTTTAGATATATATACACATATATATTCTTTTTTGTAACAAAGTTTAAATAAAATGTAATGGTAGCCTGTAGGACCACAGTGTCATCACAGTCAGGCTGATCTGGCAACTCCAGTATTAAGTAATCAAGTTTCTTCTTTAAAGTTTGTACTGTTATTCCAGCGATGTTTCATAAATTTGTTGGCAGAAGGTTGACAAGTCACAGATCTCGTATGTTTATTGTATGTTCCCTTCTCATGCCTACGGCGTCCAAACCTACCCTTGGAATTTTACACTTCCATACCTCACATCCCAGTAGGTATTATTCTACTGGGGGCTTGGAAGCCGACCTTCCTTTATTTTCTATGTGTATATAATATCTTTCTTGTCTTTGTTCCAAGAAATAGAATGTTAATGTTTATGTAGTAACACAAGTTGTAAATGTCAGAAACTTGATGATGCTTCACTCACTACTGAGCATCTTTTAGATTATTGGAATTGTTTAACAGAGTGCAGTTCGACGCCTTCATGTGATGAGAGCCAGGGAGTGTGCAGGATAGTGTGCCACGTGAATGAGCGTGAGGCAGCTGGTGTCTGTGGTGGCTACGCTTGCAAGTGTTGCACAACGCAGCTGCTTGCTTGTCCTACCACAGCTGTCTGTCCCGGAATCTGTATAGACTCGAGATACTGTGCCATACCTCTGACGAACTACCATTGCTCACTGGATGGCTGCATCTGCTGTGATAGTAAGAAGCCAATGTATAACATTTTGTCACTCTCAATTCATAACCCACAAGAGCCAGTCACAGGTGTTTAGGAGTCATCGTTGTATGTTGAAATCATAATTTGATTAAACACAAACACATGTAAACTCTGAGAGAGGGTTTAGAGCTGGCAAACACAACTGTTGAGTCTAAATGAACCAGTATTGACTGCAGAACAAGATCAATGTTAACATTCTAACGTAAAAACTCATGTGCTCAAAGGATACAAAAAGGTGATTTTTAGTTGCAACAGTTCATGAAGGCCAGACGCTTGGGGCTAGCCTCACCCATCTTTGCATTGGAAATAGTCTGGGTTTTAGGACAGCATTCAAACTTAGTAGTTAGTCAGGAAATAAGGATTTTTTTACCATACAGTAGTTCCCTATAAAAGTTCTGTTTCTCCCTGTTTTCAATTCATTGCCTTCTTTTTGAAGAGGTAAGCTTATTATATGCTAATAAACCCAATAAACCTAATAAACATTTTACCCAACAGTAAAATGGGTATCTGGTTGTTAAAAGATTTGGCGGGTCGTATTCCGGGAAAAATTAGGATTAAGGACCAGCCCGAAACGCTATGCTTGCGAGTGACTTTCCGAGAATGTAAGAACTTTTGTACATATATACATATAAAATGTGTGTATGCAACAAGATCAAAAACACTCATCTATTCAATACAAAATAACAAGTGAAATTGGAAAAAAAAAATGTAGTGCATTTTTGCCTGGTCAAGGCATTCTCAACATCTAGACTGAGAATGTCTTGACCAGGCAAAAGTACACTCCAATCCAAAAGACGAGCTGTCTTCTTGCCAATTTCACTGTGGTTATTCTGCCTTTATTTATTTATATATATACAAGAAGTTACATTGGTTTTATTTGAGTACATAGCATGATGTGTTCACATTCTTGTAAAGCCACTAGTACGCACAGCATTTCGGGCTATAATAGAATGTATTATCCGAGGTTGGAGGCCAGACACTTGGAGTTAGTCTCGCCCAATCTTGCACAGTAATGCACCTCTTAGTTTAACTTGTTTTACACCTCCATTTATTATTATTCTTTATGCCACTTTTTTTTTATTGTCACAGAACTGGGTGTCATAACCACACTGAGCCCAAAAGTGATTATATCACCACCTCAAGAGGGACCTACCACGCCACATCCAGTAGGACCTACCATGCCACGTCCAGTAGGACCCACCACGCCACGTCCAGTAGGACCTACCACGCCACGTCCAGTAGGGCCTACCACGCCACGTCCAGTAGGACCTATCACACCACATCCAGTAGGACCCACCACGCCACGTCCAGTAGGACCCACCACGTCACGTCCAGTGGGACCCACCACGTCACGTCCAGTGGGACCCACCACGTCACGTCCAGTAGGACCTACCACGCCACGTCCAGTAGGACCCACCACGCCACGTCCAGTAGAATCCACCACGCCACGTCCAGTAAGAACCACCACGCCACGTCCAGGAGGACCCACCACGCCACGTCCAGTAGGACCCACCACGCCACGTCCAGTAGGAACCACCACGCCACGTCCAGGAGGACCTACCACGCCACGTCCAGTAGGACCTACCACACCACGTCCAGTAGGACCTACCACGCCACGTGCAGTAGGAACCACCACGCCACATCCAGGAGGATCTACCACGCCACGTCCAGTAGGACCCACCACGGAAGATCCAGAAAGACCTACCAAGCCAGATTTAGGAGGATCTATCCTGCCAGACGCAGAAGGACCTATTCTGCAGGACCCAGAAGGACCTATCCTGCAGGACCCAGAAGGACCTATTCTGCAGGACCCAGAAGGACCTATTCTGCAGGACTCAGGACCTATTCTGCAGGACCCAGAAGGACCTATCCTGCAGGACCCAGAAAAACCTATCCTGCAGGACCCAGAAGAATCTATCCTGCCAGACCCAGAAGGATCTACCCTGCCAGACCCAGAAGGATCTACCCTGCCAGACCCAGAAGGGCCTATCCTGCAGGACCCAGAAGGATCAATCCTGCCAGACCCAGAAGGGCCTACCCTGCCAGACCCAGAAGGGCCTATCCTGCAGGACCCAGAAGGATCTATCCTGCCAGACCCAGAAGGATCTATCCTGCCAGACCCAGAAGGATCTATCCTGCCAGACCCAGAAGGATCTATCACACCAAGTCCAGCAGAACCTGCTACTCTAAGTACGAAAAACTCCACATCATCAAATCCAAGTGACTTGATATCCTCAAGCCTAGAGTCTATAGCAACCTCTGCACCATCCAGTACCGAATCAGTTAGAGTTGAAGCTACCAACATAATATCGTTCACCGCTGTAACCTTCCCATTGCCAACAACTCAAATATCAACAATGAATCTCACCACACCCACTGCAAAAGCTTCCACCACGACAACAATAACTGCTATTACAACCAACACAACACCAACTCCCACCACAGCCCATATAACATTCACTTTCACAACAACCTCGGTTCCAACCGATGATATAATTAACGCAGAACTGGTTTCCATCGCACAGGATGCTGCCCTAGGGATACTGCCATTTACTTCCACAACATCTACAGTTCACAATACAGCCCCAACTTCAACTAATACAACAGCTACAATACCACTGGTTACCCAAACAACAGCACCAACCACACTACTAGATACTAATACAACACCAACTACCACATCAACTAGTACTATAGTGCTAGCCACCATAACACCCACACCACCACCATTTACCATCATAATATTAACTACAATGCCTGCTGCAATTCCAAACTCCACCACCAGAGAACCATCTACCAGTATAACAACTCCTGCAACAACAACAACAACAACTACCATGGCACCAGCTATGGTCAAAACATCTATGGCCACATCACAAACTATAACCAAGACACCAAGTACCACCACAACAACAACCATAACAACAACTACTGCCACAACACCATCAACCATCACAGCACCATCAGCTACCACCATGCCAACAACCACTGCAATATCTATGATAACAAAACCAAATACCACTGTGACAACAACTACTACCATGATTAAAACTACCAGCACAACACCAACTACAACCACAACATCAACCAGCACCACAAAATAAACTTCTGCACTATCACATGCCACCACTATACCAACTACCATATCTCTACGACACCAACCATCAATTTGACACTACCGTATTAGTCGTCACCCCAACACTGTCACTGTGACATTTTCTCCAACTAAGACAAATTACCTCCATGATGCAACTACTACCATGATACCAAATACCTTGCCAAAGTCAACTACCACAATGACATCAACTACCAACATGGGCTCAACTACCACACAGTCCATAATAATCAATAGGTGCAGATCTAGGATAACCTTTCGTGAAATAGAATATTCTCTGTAACTGGCTGACATCGTAATTAAAAGTTGTGAAGGATAGATGAAATTGTTTATGTAATAATCTAGGTTGAGGTCTGATAAAAGACCTTCTGTACCCTCTGTAATGCTTTTTGCACCACCGCTCTCACAGGATGAGTATGGGGTGCACAATAAACTAGCCGCCTCTGGCAGCCACAATAAAAAATGGAAGTTAACATAATAACACCTCACAAGATGAACTGTAAGGGATCTAGATAACATGAAACAAAGCATGTAGGTGAAGACAGGGCAGGGGTTCTCAAGTGGGTATGTGTACCCTTGTCATGTTCTAGTAAATACACATTTTAAGGCAGCTCTAAGAAGCTAGTGAACAGAGTTATTATGCAAAAGGAAACATGCCCAACCTTTTCTGTCCTACCCAGGAAACAAACCCGGAATCCCCGATTGTGAGTCGACCAAAGCCAAATGCAGCAGAACAAGCTTTGAACATGTAAATACACTGTAGGGTAGCAAGGGTCAAACATGGGTGACAAAGATCAATGAAAGTTACCTTCCTAAGAAATCCTCCAGTGATGTATATACTGGCAGAGAGGAGAAGATTAAGGGATAGGTGGGGGGGGGGGGGATACAACAGGACATGAGCAGGGAAGAGAGGAAGTTAGGAGAGAGAGGATGAGTAAAGGGAAATGAAAAGAGGGACAAGAAATGGAGTGGTAAAGACAGTGGTAAGTGTTATTTACAATCTATCATTAACTACAGGAAGGTAAAGGGTGGAATATTATAAATGCAATGAAACATGCTTGAGGATAATAGAAGTAGTGGCCACAGTGGCGAGGTGAGCCTGAGCAAAGATCCTAACTCTTGGAGATTTTAACCACAGGGAAACAGACTGGTCGACAAAAGATCCTCACGAGGGAGATGAAATATAGAGCAAGATTTGTATACACTACAAACACTTCCTGTGGCAGCATATCAAGAGGCCAACAAGAGAAAAAAGTGAGCTACCAGCCACTCTAGACCTGGTGTTTAACCAAAATGACCACATACAAAACATAAAATATGAGCTAACACTAAGAGACAGTGACCACTGTGTTAGTGGTGTGATTACATTGTAGAACTAGAAGAGATAGTTGAAAACAGGACAAGGAGGGATAGATAATTTTTTTTCAAAAGAGGGGAACTACAAGAAGGTTAGGAATTATTTGCAGGATGTTCAATGGGAGACTGAAATGGAAGGAAAGTCAGAAAATGAGATAATGGAGAGGACAGGCAAGCGGTCGCTGCTTGATGAGCCCTAACCTCACTGGGATGGTCAGAAAGAAGAGCCACATGGGGTATAAACCTTTTCAATATGGACCAAGGCCTTCCAAACTTCACAAGAGGAACCCCTTTGTGGTGGCACAGTAGGAACAACACATGGGGGGCAGGGGACATTGCTTATGGACTGAGTCGTGTATACAGGTTATATTTGCAATAAAAGAACTGAAGAGGGGGGGGGGGAGGACCAGGTTCACAACAGGTGCAGCAGTCAAGGTATGGCACAAGCAGAAATTGGGGTGATTTAGAGACCCCAAACAAAGTACTGATGGGAATATTGAGCATGATAATCTTACAGTAATGGGACACCAGAATTTTTCTCAATTTGATTTGATTTCTGATCCCCAAGTTTCCCTTTGAATCAGAGTGAGCCAGATTCCGATCTTGGTGCCTGCTAACAGATGGATTGTTCTTGGAAGTTTAATGTATTGGGTTCATTCTTGGTGATACCAGAGCTAAACTTTGTAGCTTCCCAAGGACTCTTTTCCACTATTTACTCAATAAAGCAAAAATATCAATATTCTCCACTTCCCAGCAATATGCAGTTAATAATGAAGTCCAGAATGCTTGGAATGTGCAATGATGCTAGAATATAATTCAAAAGTTCATAAATGACAAGAAGCGTAGCAATTATGGAAATCTGACGTTCAATACGGTACTGTACTGTCCTGAACGTGGTAGACCTGTGGATCATTCCATTAGTTTTTGTATAAAGTAATTACATGCATACCAGTGAAAACACGCTCTCCAATTCTGAGCAAATGAGGGCTGCCTGTATTCAGCTTACAGGCCTTACATTGTGATATGCGTCAGCCAACACTGCTGCATAAGAGGTGTCTAAGTGGGTACATCTTATCCCAGATTCTCGGTACTGAAAGAGAAGTGGCAAGGACTGATTCCCATGGGCTTAGATAAGTTTTATGCCCAATTTTTATAACCAACAGCATGATAATTAATAAGCAGTCTAGAAAAATATCAGCAAGTTTATTTAATCTATAGAACAAGCACGTCAATATTACTGAACTATTTATACACTCAACTCTTGTTAAATATAGACTACAGTATTAAGATTTTCTTCCAAATGGGTCAGTCCATACCTTCATATCTGAAGAAGAAAATGGCATGTGTTAGACAAGCATAAGATACCGAAATGTGATAAATAAATAACAATGCAACAATTGTTCTTCTTGGTAATTTGTATATTTTTTATTGCTTATGCCCCAAAAGTATAAAAAATGGCTATTATTCACTTCAAACTGGGCTTTGACCTTTGACTCAAAGAGCCGAGAGAAGACGTCTGGAAGCTACAGTACTTGAAAACAATAGTGTCCTAATCTAGAGCGGCGACACAATGTTTCGTAAGTCGGCAGCCTTCGGGTATCTTATCTTGAGGTTATCTCGAGATGATTTCGGGGCTTAGCGTCCCCGCGGCCCGGTCCTCGACCAGGGCCTCCTTTTTGTTACACACCCCCAGGAAGCAGCCCATAGCAGCTGTCTAACTCCCAGGTACCTATTAACTGCTAGGTGAACAGGTGAATCAGGGTGAAAGAAAATATGCCCATTTGTTTCTGCCTCCACCAGGGATCGAACCCGGAACCTCAGGACTACGAATCTGAAGCGCTGTCCACTCAGCTGTTAGGGCCCTAAACGGGTACAGTACTGTACCTTCAAGATGTCTTCCCTAAATTGTATGCGGTAAAGGTCAAAGCAAACGTTCAGGGAACATAATAGCCACTTTCTTTACTTTGGATACATAAGTAATTAGAAAATAAAATTAGCCAGGAAGAAAACAAATATTCCTTGTGTTATCTAACATTATTATTGGTCTCGCCAGTTACCTCTTGACCTTAATTAATGTTCTCTTACTTCTCATAATGACTCACTGTGAAAATTACGGAGCACACACATACACATCTTACTATGTATCCTTTCTTATTTGGCTCTCTCATGTGACCTCCACATCCAACTGGTGTACCTCCTCAGTCTCCACATCTAACTGGTGTACCTCCTCAGCCTCCACATCCAACTGGTGTACCTCCTCAACCTCCACATCCAACTGGTGTACCTCCTCAACCTCCACATCCAACTGGTGTACTGTACCAACTCAGTCTCACATCCAATTCCTGTACCTCCTTAAATATAAACGTGAAAACATGTTGAGAAGCACCTCACATTTGGTGGCAATAAGATGCATAATACTCACTTCCTGGTTGGATTTCTTGCTGGTTAACATTCTTTCTGTTTTCTGCCTGAATTTTTTCTGAAAAGGACAACACATTAAGAACTAAACGTGTTTTAAATATAAAATGTGATCAAGCGCTATCATCGGACCACTGAATCTCTCAATGCTTTACTGTGTCTTAACTAGAACAGGCTATGCAATGAGTACAGGAGTGCTATGAAAATAGGCAGGTGTAGCGAGTACAGGAGGGGATTGGGGGGGGGGGAGTGATGTTTAGTGCATGTACCAATTACAGTATAATAATAGAGGGAGTATAGAATAACGATTGTAGGGAGAACAGTGTAACAAGTACAAGAAGTTCAATGTAAGGGAAGTCTCCAACTTAAGAATGACACGAATCTAAAAAAAATCCAGTGAGGTTTTTGAGACTTTAGTGTATGAAGTAGAATGTAGTGTATCCAAGTAGTGGGATGCTTCTTTCTGGAAGAGTCCTGGTGGCTCCCTTAAGCTATCTTGCTGAGACGGCACCCAACTACTAGGTCACATCAGTCATGGAGTTCTGTTTGGCCAACTGGGGACCAGTGCCAAAACCTAGCCCCCTCACGGCCTCGTAGCCTGGTGGATAGCGCGCAGGACTCGTAATTCTGCGGCGCGGGTTCGATTCCCGCACGAGGCAGAAACAAATGGGCCAAGTTTCTTTCACCCTATGCCCCTGTTACCTAGCAGTAAATAGGTACCTGGGTGTTAGTCAGCTGTCACGGGCTGCTTCTTGGGGGTGGAGGCCTGGTCGAGGACCGGGCTGCGGGGACACTAAAGCCCCGAAATCATCTCAAGATAACCTCAAGATAACAGAGGTGCAGAGACTGGCGACACTCTGCCACCCCACCAGGAAAGCCTCCAGAAAGTGAATCAATACAGACCACTGCTGGATTCACAAACCAAAGCCTCAGAATTGCCTAACAAATTCCCCCATCAATGTACACAAATGATAAAATGATGACCAAACCACACATCAGAAGATGGAGAAACTACGACGTTTCGGACTGTCCTGGACCATTATCAAGTCGTATGTGAGGGAGAGAGGAAGGAATGGCAATAAATAAGGAAAGAATGAGGTGAGGAGCAGGTAAGAGTAGGCAATTCCTAGACGGTAAGAGAAAGGGGAAAGGCAAGAATAGGATGCAATGGACGAATAGGACGAGAGTAATAATGGGATGAAGGAAGAGTGGGACAAGGTAAGAAAATAAAAAGGGCTTAACCCCTGCTCCCTCTTTTTTTGCCATTTTCTCCCTGTGCCCCTTAGAAGAGGGGGTTCTGGCTCTGCTCTGTGGTAGGCCCAAGAACTCCACAACTGATGCAACCTGGTACAGTAGATAGGAGCAGCCACAGTGAGATTCAGGGAGCCACAAGTGGCTCTCCCCGGAAATTATACACATTATATCCCCGGAGATTATACACATAAATGGTGCTGATATCTGATTAAGAGCCAGGCAGGCAACCAGCAAGAGTAATTACCAGAGTGTAGTTACAGGATGAGAAGATGGGACACGCTCGTAGTGTCCAATCTTCCCAGTACTGTCGTATAATGCTTTAAAACTACTGTGCAGTACTGACGGTTTTGGCCTCCACCACCTTCTTATTTAGTTTGTTCCAACCATTTACCACTCTGTTTGCAAAAAAAAATGTTCTAATATATTTCCGGCACCTCTGTTTTCTAAGCTTGAATCTGTGTCCTCTTGTTCGTGAAGTTGCTGGTTTCAGGAATGCCTCTGTCAATTTGGTCTATTTCTGTTAGCATTTTGTAAGTGGTAATCACATCACCTCTCTTCTATCTTCTAGTTTCGGCATGTTTAATGCCTCTAGTCTCTCCTCTTAACTCTTGTTTTTCAGTTCCGGAAGCCATTTTGTAGCATACCGTTGCATGTTTTCCAGTTTATTGATATGCTTCTTGAGATTTAGGCACCATGAAACTATTGCACATTCCAATTATGGTCTCACAAAAGTCATGAACAGTTTTAGTATTTCACCATCCATATAATTAAAAACAAGTCTGAAGTTGCAAAGCGATGCATATGCTCCTCTCACAATGTTCTTTATGTGTTCCTCTGGCAACAGCTTACTATCCATAACAACCCCTAGGTCTCGTTCTATTTTAAGAGTTCTGTAATTCCTTTCCATATAATTTGCAAGTTGTATGTGGTCTATTTTCTCAGATTTCACATTCCATAACATGGCATTTATTCACATTGAATTCCATTTGCCACTTGACACTCCAAGCACTCATTTTATCTAGATCACAAAAGATCAATTTGTAGGGCATTGCAATCATCTGCGTCTCCTATCTTCCCCAGTACTGTATCTTAGCGTCATCTGCAAACATGTTCATATAATTCTGTATTCCTTCAGGTAGATTTTTATGTAGATGATGAACATTACTGGTGCAAGTACTGAATGCACCATGCACCTTGCACCAGTAATGCATTACTGGTGCAAGTACTGGTACTCTGCTAGTAACACTCCTCCAGTCAGATACATTGTCTCTGATTACTGCCCTCATCTATCAGTTAAAATAAATTCCATCCATGTCAGAAGTCTTTCTGTCATCCCTCCAGCATGTTCCAATTTCCAGAACAGCCTCTTGTGCGAGACTATCAAAAGCCTTGTTTTAAGTTAGAGTCAACCCAACCACCTCTTTCCTGTAGTATCTCTGTGGTTCTATTTTAAAAGCTAAGTAGATTTTTTACACAGGATCTTCCTGTTTGAAAACTATACTGTCTGTCCGTTATTGTCATAACTCTCTAGATATTCAACCCATTTGGCTTTAAATATTTTTTTCCAGTGTTTGGACGACCACGTTTTTTAATGACATGGGTCTATAATATAGAGGTTCCTCTCGACTACCATTTTTATAAATTGGTACCATGTTTGCCTTTTTCTATATATCTACTAAGATTCCTGAACACAAGGACGTCTGGATTATTAATTGGCGTGGAATGCTCAGCTCAGTTGCACCTTCTCGCAGCACCAAAGGTGAAACTCCATCAGGTCCAACAGCTTTATTGCTTCATAGCTCCACAAGGAATTTTTTGTCTTGAGATACCTCTATGTATTTTATGGCGTGTTCTGGAATTGGTATTTGGTCCGGCTCTCTGAAATCTTCATTTTGTACAAACACACTTTGGAACTGTTTATTTAACATTTCACACATTTCTTTTTCATTCTCAGTAGTCCTGTTCCCCGTTCTCAATCTCTAGATTTTATCTTTTACATGCAGCTTGCTTTTAATGAATTTTCTCTTCTTACTGCTGTGTAATTGTTTCTTGCTTGTTTGTAATGCTGGTATGTTTGGAACCCATTTTCTTGTCTTTTCCTCTCTGGCCCTCTCACAATTTCTGTTGAACCAATCCTGTTTTCTGGTCCTGCATCTCTGTTTTGGCATGAATGTTTGTGTGCCTTCATCGTAGATTTAGTGAAATTTGGCATACATCTCATTTACTTCCTTGCCTATGTAAGTAATGTAAGTCTATGTAAGGGTGTTTAACAGAACCAGAGCAATGCTTGTTACTCCATTTAATTTCAAGCACAGTACTGTTCGAAGAAAGTATTTCAATACAATGGCCATTCAAGGCTGGATTGAAAATTCTTGTCTGTTCCTTCCTTCAAATAGCCTGGTGGGGGCGAGGTGAAAAATCCTGGCTGTATCAGAGTTGACAGATGGTCACACTGACTTAAGCTGCATATAGGCTCTGACACTAGGAGAGCGGGAGCTTGTCAAAAGGAACTGACTGAGTGACCTTAGCTCAGAAACACTTTAATCACATGCATTTGATTACTATTGACGAATCACAAATATTTGATTATTTATTACTATGTAGAAAAGCATTGATAATGTCTTTGCAGATTTTTTTAATCTAAACTTAACTTTAAATACAACATTTATTGAACAAAATAAACTCAATCACATCATGTCCAACAGCATTGGGACTAAAACCCTTTGGATAATAGTACCTTTGGTTGTGAAATGTTTCCTCTCCCACATGCTATTTTTTTTTTAAATACTGCACTTACTCAAATAAAGTGTGTAGGTCTTATTAAGATTTTGCTCCACTAAATTAAGTTTGAAGTGGTAATAGAAGCAAGCACCTTGGAGACAATTTTAAGGAACTTCAGTTTTGCAGGAAGCACCCAGCTTATGAACAGGATGTGTTCCACAAAGGCAGTCATAAGTCAGCTATTTGTAACATGCAACAACATTTCCCACTGTACCTTCAAGTTTGATTTTGGCATTTTTTACTTGTATGGTTTTAGAAATAATGCAATCCCAATACCTTGTTGAATACTAGGAACTGCTGTATGGGACACGATGGGGTCGAGTGAACCTGTATTATCCAGGAAGTAAAATTTTGGCTTTACACAGATCCAAGGAGTTCAATGAAGGATCCAAAGCAATAAACCTTGAATAAACCTTACTATAAGCATCGATATTCATCATTGGGTAGATAATGATAGGGTAGAGGGCAGCACCGATGAATCCCACCAGACCTCCGATGAATACATGATAGCGCCAACCACTTAATTTTGACATTGTCTGAAAAGAAACACAGTACAGTACTATCATAAAAATGCCACCCTAAGTAGGCTATTTGCAAGATATCGTGATGTAATGAAATTCCAAACTTGATAATATATCAATTATGAGTTTAAAAGTGCTTGGGCATGATGCCCCCCCCCCTACCCCCATACTGTGGGTGGGTAACAGCATGGACCTGCTGCCCCTGCCCCAAGTACTGTGGGCTAGTAGTACCAGGGGCCTGTCGCCCCCCAGGTACTGTTGATGGTATGTAGCAGGGGGTCTGCTACCCACCAGTACCGTGGGTGGGCAGCAGACTGGGCGTGGTATCAGAAGGTACCGAGGGTGGGCAGCAGACTGGGCGTGGTATCAGAAGGTACCGAGGGTGGGCAGCAGACTGGGCGTAGTATCAGAAGGTACCGAGGGTGGGCAGCAGACTGGGCATGGTATCAGAAGGTACCGAGGGTGGGCAGCAGACTGGGAGTGGTATCAGAAGGTACCGTGCGTGGGCAGCAGACTGGGCGTGGTATCAGAAGGTACCGAGGGTGGGCAGCAGACTGGGCGTGGTATCAGAAGGTACCGAGGGTGGGCACCAGACTGGGCGTGGTATCAGAAGGTACCGAGGGTGGGCAGCAGACTGGGAGTGGTATCAGAAGGTACCGTGGGTGGGCAGCAGACTGGGTGTGGTACCAGCAGGGACCAGGGGTGAGGGGCACCAGGACACAAGACTCACCAGCAGGGACCAGGGGGTGAGGGGCACCAGGACACAAGACTCACCAGCAGGGACCAGGGGTGAGGGGCACCAGGACACAAGACTCACCAGCAGGGACCAGGGGTGAGGGGCACCAGGACACAAGACTCACCAGCAGGGACCAGGGGGTGAGGGGCACCAGGACACAAGACTCACCAGCAGGGACCAGGGGGTGAGGGGCACCAGGACACAAGACTCACCAGCAGGGACCAGGGGGTGAGGGGCACCAGGACACAAGACTCACCAGCAGGGACCAGGGGTGAGGGGCACCAGGACACAAGACTCACCAGCAGGGACCAGGGGTGAGGGGCACCAGGACACAAGACTCACCACCAGGGACCAGGGGTGAGGGGCACCAGGACACAAGACTCACCAGCAGGGACCGTGGGTGAGGGGCACCAGGACACAAGACTCACCAGCAGGGACCGTGGGGGAGGGGCACCAGGACACAAGACTCACCAGCAGGGACCGTGGGTGAGGGGCACCAGGACACAAGACTCACCAGCAGGGACCGTGGGTGAGGGGCACCAGGACACAAGACTCACCAGCAGGGACCAGGGGTGAGGGGCACCAGGACACAAGACTCACCAGCAGGGACCAGGGGGTGAGGGGCACCAGGACACATGACTCACCAGCAGGGACCAGGGGTGAGGGGCACCAGGGCACAAGACTCACCAGCAGGGACCGTGGGTGAGGGGCACCAGGACACAAGACTCACCACCAGGGACCAGGGACCAGGGGCACCAGGACTCACCGGCAGGGACCAGGGGCACCAGGACTCACCAGCAGGGACCAGGGGCACCAGGACTCACCAGCAGGGACCAGGGGCACCAGGACTCACCAGCAGGGACCAGGGGCACCAGGACCCACCAGCAGGGACCAGGGGGACCAGACTCACCAGCAGGGACCAGGGGCACCAGGACTCACCAGCAGGGACCAGGGATACAAGACTCACCAGCAGGGACCAGGGGCACCAGACTCACCAGCAGGGACCAGGGGCACCAGACTCACCAGCAGGGACCAGGGGCACCAGACTCACCAGCAGGGACCAGGGGCACCAGCAGGGACCAGGGACACCAGACTCACCAGCAGGGACCAGGGGGACCAGGGGCACCAGCAGGGACCAGGGACACCAGACTCACCAGCATGGACCAGGGGGACCAGGGGGACCAGGGGCACCAGCAGGGACCAGGGACACCAGACTCACCAGCAGGGACCAGGGGCACCAGGACTCACCAGCAGGGACCAGGGACACAAGACTCACCAGCAGGGACCAGGGACACAAGACTCACCAGCAGGGACCAGGGGCACCAGGACTCACCAGCAGGGACCAGGGACACAAGACTCACCAGCAGGGACCAGGGACACAAGACTCACCAGCAGGGACCAGGGGCACCAGGACTCACCAGCAGGGACCAAGGACCAGGGACACAAGACTCACCAGCAGGGACCAGCCGTCGACGCCTCACCTTCCCTCACTAGTGAACGCTCTCACTCCTCACTCATACTCTCACTTTTCTCCTCTACCTCTCTAATAAACACATAATATTCCCCAAAAATATAAATACAATGTTGGGAGGAAAATCCCAAGAGCGAGTGAATGAGAAGTGGTGAATTAAGGCGGTGGGAGCGGGACTCGAACGCGGGTCAGTGTTTACATGTGGTCAGGAGGACGGGAGCTCCGCCCTCGTCACTGTCCCTCGTAGTCGTCGCCCCTCGTCACTCAGCCTCTCGTCGTCCCTCCTCGTCACTCAGCCTCCTCACCTCCTCCTCACTCTTCCTCATTAAGACGTAAGTGACATTAGCGTGGTGCACGAGTCAACACCGCTCCTGTGCCAGGTAAGTCCACTACGGGCTCACCATAGCCTGTGCTACTTGCCCCGCTCCTGTGCCAGGTATAAGTTACGGGCTCACCATAGCCCGTGCTACTTGCCCCGCTCCTGTGCCAGGTAAGTCCACTACGGGCTCACCATAGCCTGTGCTACTTGCCCCGCTCCTGTGCCAGGTATAAGTTACGGGCTCACCATAGCCCGTGCTACTTGCCCCGCTCCTGTGCCAGGTAAGTCCACTACGGGCTCACCATAGCCCGTGCTACTTGCCCCGCTCCTGTGCCAGGTAAGTCCACTACGGGCTCACCATAGCCCGTGCTACTTAGAACTTGTTCCGAGTAGCTGAATCTATAACAACAACAACAAGATAGCATGGTGAGTGAGCGTCTTGGAGGTCTGTACATGGCGGCTCAGCCTCACTAACCCGGCTTCACCGCGCTGAAACCACTCATTAAAACTTACATTTTTATTTATTTATTTATTTATTTATATATGCAAGAGTTGTTACATTCTTGTAGAGCCACTAGCATGCGTGGCATCCTTAATCCTAACGTTCCCCGGAATACGAGCCGCCAAATCGTTTAACAACCAGGTACCCATTTTACTGTTTGGTAAACATTCACTGCTGGGTGAATAGACACTACTTTTAAGGATTGGCCCCCAGTAAGTCCTCCCCGGCCAGGATACAAACCCAGGACAAAGCGCTTGCTAAACGCCAGGCGAGCGTCTTACCACTATGCCACGGAGACTGCGTAAGGTGATGCAAGACAAAATATTCTGTCTTGAGAACACGCTGTCCCTCTGTTCAAATCCCATAATATGTTTAACATGCATGGCTCATAACTGATTGGACCCCGAATTCAATTCCGGAGGCAGAACTTATAGTTTGGTAAAATTTCCTTAAACCTGATGCTCCCTTTTCGGACAGAAGTCACACCATAGTCGAAATTGAAGATGAGGTGGTGGCTTGAGCACATTTCTTAACATTTCTAGCAACCCTCCCACTAGACCGTCAGGAAAGACTTCCACCCCTCAAGAAAGCTCGTTCTGCTTCCTGCTTTCCGAATTAGGCCCTTTACTTCAGACATGACAGATGGGGAAACCTTACGTTCTGATGCATCTCTGAGCTCGTGGTCCCATCATAACACCTGGATACTCAATATTTGTCGTAAGCGTTTACATATAGGTCATACACAACCTCCTTCCCATCTATTTCTTCTTAAGATGATTGACTCCTGCTTGCTGGTGGTGCCCACAACAAGAAACCGTAGAATACACCTTTATTGCCCACTCTTACTCAGCTGGAACTCACCTTCTTAGCAACCTATGTAACCTTAATATTCCACATCTCGCTCTTCCTGTCCTTCTTGAAGGAGCGGGTCTTCATGAAGACAAACATTAAGTCATTCTACAAAAACATTTAGCTTCCAGAGGGTATAGACTCATTTCTGTCAATGTTTGGTGATGACAAAAATTATGAGAAGAATCAAGACAGATGAAGATAAACAGAGACTTCAAGACAACCTGGACAAACTAGAGGAATGGTCTTGAAAATGGCTACTAAAGTTTAACTAGGTAAGTACTTAAGTTGTACTTAGTTGTGCTTGCAGGGGTTGAGCTTTGACTCTGGTCCCGCCTCTCAACTGTCAATCTACTGGTGTACAGATTCCTGAGCTTCTTGAGCTCTATCATATCTACATTTGAAACTGTGTATGGAGTCAGCCTTCACCACATCACTTCCTAATGTATTCCATTTACTAACTACTCTGACACTGAAAAAGTTCTAATGTCTCTGTGGCTCATTGGCTCTGTGGCTCATTGGCTCTGTGGCTCGTTTGGGTACTCAGCTTCCACCTGTGTCCCCTTGTACATATACTACCCATGTTAAATAGTCCACCCTGTCAATTCCATTAAGAATTTTGTATGTAGTGATCATGTCTCCCAGAGCTCTTCTGTAAAGTGTAAGGTTAGTAATGAAACTAGATGAAGGTAGTAGGAGGCCAAACACAAGGTACCATCTGGGAGGTGAAATCCTTCAAGAGTTGAGTAGAGAGAGATCTGGGGGTTGATATACCCAACCTGTTCCCAGAAGCCCACATCAGAAGGATATCATCAGCGACATTTGCTAGATTGGCCAACATAAGAACTGCCTTTAGAGACTTGTGTAAGGAATCATTCAGAACCTTGTATACCAGATATGTTGGATCAATCCTGGAGTATGCAGCTCCAGCCTGGAGTCCATATCTAGTTAACACAAAACAGAGTTACAGAAGATTCAGAGGTATGCCACCAGACTAGTCCCAGAGCCGAGAGGTATAAGTTATGAGAAAAGGTTACGGGAAATAAACCTCACATCCCTGGAAGACAGAAGAGTTACGGGAGATATGATTACCACCTACAACATCTTCAGAGGAATTGACAGGGTGGAGAAAGAAAAACTATTTAGCATGGATGGAACATGAACAAGTGGACATAGGGGGGCCTGTGGCTGAGTGGACAGCGCTCTGGACTTGTAATCCTACGGTCCAGGCTCGATCCTGGTGATGGCGGAAATAAATGGGCAGAGTTTCTTTACCCTGATGCCTCTGATACCTAACAGTAAATAGGTGCCTCGGAGTTAGACAGCTGTTACGAGCTGCATCCTGGATGTGTGTGTGTGGTGGAGGGGGGGGGGGATAATAAGTTGATTGAGTGACAGTTGAGAGGCGGGTTGAAAGAGCAGAGCTCATCCCCCGCAAGCACAACTAGGTGAATACAGGTGGAAACTGAGTACAGTACAGGTCTCAGAAACTGTACTCAAATGAGCCACAGTGACTTTAGAAAGAATTTTTTCAGTGTCAGGGTAGCTAATAAATGAAGTGCAGTAATTAGTGATGTGGTGGAGGCAGACTCCATATGTAGTTTCACACGTAAATGTAATAGAACCCAATAGGCTCGGGAACCTGTACACCAGTTAATTGACAGTTGAGAAGTGGGACCAAAGAGCTGAAGCTCAACCCCTGCAAGCACAACTAGGTGAGTACTGCAACAAAAGGGTTAAGTTTAATTGTACTGGTCAGTTCTTACTCTTTTTTCCAGTAATGCAACTTCAATACAGATTGAGGACTGCCATTTAAAATAAACATTATACACATAAATACCATTATTTTTGAACATTGCATACAGCAGTATAATTCACCTTATGAAGGTAAGTGGAATTGTTACTTAGTCAAGAGGAATACATGGGCTTGAGCTTCCATTTATATCCTGCTTCATTACTATTTTTCTTCCCGGAGCAGAATGGGGCAGACTCTGAGTGAACCAGTGACACAGAAAGAAACCTCCCGGTGTGAGAACTCTTGGTTACGTGTTGGTGCATCGTGCATGCAAGGATGGCGTGTCAACATGGAAGATGCACACACCACAATACTTTCACTCCCAGATGAACCAGGAACGGCCTTCTTTGGTGTATATGATGGCCATGGAGGTAAGACTTTGAGTAATGATGATGATAATGCATATTCTGTAGGTACACATTTTATTTATATATATAATATATATGCGGAAAATCCACAGAGAAATGGGAAAGAGAGATGAACGTTTCGGCCAATCTGGGCCTTTGTCAACACCTGACTGAAAGTAAGTCAGGTGTTGACAAAGGCCCAGATCGGCCAAAACGTTTATCTCTTTCCCATTTCTCTGTGGATTTTCCGCATACAAATGATCAGTGTTTAGTGATCGTCAATTGCATATAATATATATATATATATATATACAGTGGCACCTCGACATACGATTGCCCCTACTTACGATAATTTCAAATTAGGATATAAATTTCACCGAAAAATGCGACTCGACATCCGATGGTGTCGTCGACATCTGATATTTGTTGGTACATGTTTGGGTCGGCCGAGCGCGTGGTTCCCAGTCAAGCAGTGCGACCTGCCTCAGTTTACTACAGCTGCCCGCTTAGTGACGATCGCGCCTATTCCGCTTTTGTGGTGATTTTTTGCATTTTGACCATTAAAGTAATTATTATATAATACGCCTTGAGTCCCAGGAAAGTCAGTGGTAAGGCTTAACATATGAGATCCCATGTAAGAATGATCATAGAGCAGAAACAAGAGATCATTCGTAAATATGAAGATGGTGTGCGGGTAGGTGAACTGGCTAGGCAGTACAACAAATCTCAGTCAACGATATCCACCATACTAGCTAAGAAAAAGGACATTATGGGTGCTAAAGTGATGCAACATTACAAACAAATGTTAATACGAATGGAAAAACAAATGTCTCTTGACATTTGTAGTGAGACAAACAAGCACTGAACCACAACCAGGTCCTAGTGGTATTCAGGCAAAACTTGAGAGAGAGTACCCCAGAGAAAACATCACTGCCTGATGTGATAATGGAAGGGGACTCCCCTTCCAAACAGTAACAACTCTTCTCCTCCCCCCTCATCACCATCTTCCATACACCATCAAAAGCCCTCCATAAAGGTAAGAGTAACTTTGGTACTGTATTGTAGTTAGAAAAAAACATTGTATTCAGTATAAAATGTATTTTTATGTTAATATTTTGGAGGGTGGGGAACGGATTAATTCAAATCCCTTTATTTCTTATGGGAAAAATCGCTTCAACTTCCGATATTTTGACTTACGATCCGTCTCTGGGAACGGATTAGCATCGTAAGTCGAGGCCTCATTGTATATAATATGCATGCACTTATACATGTACTGTATGTCATGTTTCCAACCTGTGCATGCACCTTAGCTTAGCTGTCACTGTTTGTCGTGGCATATACAGGTAGGTAGAAGCGTGGGCAAGTATTCGCCTGGTAGCATCTTTGTGACTACTGTAACTTGTTAATGTTATTGCTTATTTACGATACTACTGTAAAATTTGCCTAATTTGGCCTATGTTAGGCAGGATTGAATAATAATTGGTTATGTTATTGGTATTTAGGTTAGATTATGATAAATAGCTTAGATTTATTTAAATTTAAAAGTTTGCAAATAATTTTTGTTTAAATGATTATATTCTTAAGTACTCCATTTATTTTAATGTATTTATTTTATGTATGTATTTAAGTTTAAGTATTTTAATTTTTAAGTACAATACAGGTATTGTACTAAGTATATTTTGTAAGTATCATTACTTAATTAAGTACTGTATATTTTTTAAGTATATATGTAAGTTTTAAGATACAATTGGGTAATTGCCATGCAAAATTGAGATTAATGGACCCACCTTAAGTATTTAAGAAAGACTGCAGTAAAGAATGATTTCTATTCGTTACAGGTTCTAGAATTGCTCAGCACGCAGGCAAGCACTTGCACAAGAGTATCGTAAAGCAGGCAGAGTATAAAGCCGGGAACATTGAGGCTGCCATCAAACAGGTAGGACACATTCATCAGATCATTACTTATATTACTTCTTTAATAATTGATGTAATTGATGGAAGAAGTCATAAAGTGCTCAGGTGAAACACAAAAATGAAAGTTGACTGAATAAATTTTCAACTACATCATGATGTCTAACAGATACAGAAGTCTAGTGCTTTTTTAAAGGCACAAAGTGAGAGCAGTGACATAAGTTGTTGTGAGGTTGATGTAGTGAGGTCAGTGATGAAAGGGGTACTCACCTAGTTGTGCTTGCGGGGGTTGATCTTTGGCTCTTTGGTCCCGCTTCTCAACTGTCAATCAACTGGTGTACAGATTCTTGAGCCTACTGGGCTCTATCATATCTTCATTTGAAACTATGTATGGAGTCAGCCTCCACCACATCCGGTCCTCGACCAGGCCTCCACCCCCAGGAAGCAGCCCGTGACAGCTGACTAACACCCAGGTACCTATTTACTGCTAGGTAACAGGGGCATAGGGTGAAAGAAACTCTGCCCATTGTTTCTCGCCGGTGCCCGGGCGACATCTGCCAAGTGTTGCTCCATACACTTTATTGTCCAGGTCATCTTAAAGGGCATGACAGTTATCCAAGTTTCTTATCTTCCCTAGTGGCTTTGCATTATCAGTTAACATGTTCATATAGTTCTGTATTCCTTCTAGTAGACCATTCCTATAGACAATAAACATTACTGGTGCAAGAAGTGAACCCTGTGGTACTCCAATAGTAACATTTCTCCACTTTAATACAATTTATTCTTATTCCTATTCTTTTAACATTTATTTCATTACACTCGTCAACGTTTCCACATCTTCGTGTCTCGTATACATAACATATCGAACTTTACTATTTCAAAAATCTTTTTCCAATTCTAACTTGTGTTCCTGGTATGTTCCTCTCACACTGCACACAGCCATGCAGACCTGCCTCCGACTTTTATTTATTTATTTATTTATTTATATACAAGAAGGTATTTTGGGATTGTGAGGATACATAATATGGTAATTACAATCTTGTAAAGCCACTTGTATGCGCAGCATTTCGGGCAGCAAATGGGGGGGACTTGTGGGGCTCAGGCACGTGTCCGGGCCCCACATCTAAGGCTACTGTACTTTGACTTGTACTGGGAAGATGGGTTCCTAGCCCACTTCTCCACCTTTATAATGCACGAGGGATATGCGGCTAATTGATTAATTGCATTACACAATTTTTCTTTTCAGGGTTTCTTGGATTTGGACAATTTAATGCAGACGGATGACGTGCTAAAAGATGAGCTGGCGGGTACTACAGCTATATGCTGTCTTCTTCGTAATGGAACCGTGTACTGCGTGAGTGGTTTTTCTTAATTTTGTATTTGACAAGCCTTATCCTTTTTTTTTTTTTTTTTTTTTTTTTAAAGCAGTGCTTCCAAGGGAATCTTTTTCAAATTTAGTGCCATGCTTTTCTGGGCTGGCTCCTCAGTAGCTCCCTGCAGCATTGGGTCTGGTAGCACTGAGACAATGTTATCAAGACTTGCACAGGCCTACTGAACATCAAGATTAGAATAGTGTACTTAGAGTTGAAAGAGCATGGTAATCAGAGATTGATCCAGTACCATGCAGAACTGCCTAGAAAGAACTTTCAAAACAAAACAAAGTGCATGTCTTTAGTAAAGACAAAAGATGATGAACAATCAATCATCATGCCATTATCCGTGAGCAGCACCAGGTCGCAACCTGGATCATCTGGGAATCCAGCCGACCCGCGTCCTTGTTCGCATGCTTGGTGCCACATACGATGCTCTTCTCATATGTGAGGACTGGCTCACTGTTCTAGATAAGGGGTTAGTGTTCCTTAAGACATTGTTGTACGAATCTTGGTTGTGCTTTGTGATTGTGTTCGTGTTATCTAATTTGAATGTATTTAGTGTCTTAAGTTCTTCCGACACTGTTTCAAGGGTATCTATCTTGGCACTGTTTTGCATTTTCGGTTTCCTCATCAGAGTTATCTTGTCCTCATTTTGAATTGTCCCATTGTCCAAGTAGTGCTTGAGACTTGGTCTTTGTGCCAGACTTATTGATAGTAGTTGATTAATTTAGCTGTATACTTCCTGGAAAAAAAAAAAAAAAAATTGTACATGGTGATGTACATGACCTTATGTATGGGTGGTGCCTTGTATGTTTCAGGGATTATACATGGATAGTGACAGGATTCCTTAGGTTTAAAATTAATGGCATCCTATATCCTTTCTCACCCGTGATATACAAGGGTCAGTGTGCAGGCACCTGCTTAACCCTTAAAGTGCGCATCACGTCATATGACGTGTTGGAGTACTACGCAAGATTTAAACGGCCCGCGGATACACGGGGTTCACCACACCATCATCAGGGCTCTTGTAAACAGGCACCATTTAAAAAAAAAATCGTGGGCCAAACTCCCAGGTGTTATTGGCCTCAGTATTGAGTGAGCAACCAAGCCTGACGCACGCAGCATGAGCTAACAGCACTGCTGTTCAGCGTGTGACCACAGCATCGCCTAAAGATGCCAAAATATACTTATTCATACTATTATGTAGCGATGATATTATTACAGAAGACCCCTGACTGTGATAAAACTGACCAGGGTTCTGATAATAGCAGGATTGTGGTGATATTTAGCGCTGAGCGCCATGGAGGGAGGAGTAATGCTGTGGGACAGATGATGGTGTCGATGTCTTCTGACTCTGTGTGGCCACCTTTTATTGACTGCACTCACCATACCAGCTTAGTGGTTCGCTATGATGAACACAAATGTAGATACTTATATATAACGTGTGTATAGAGGGTATAAACAGCAAGAGAAGGTTGGGAGCCGCCATTTTGGTGAGGGCGGTGTTGTTTACTGGTTACCACGATGGTCTTTGGGCACCATACCAGTTTATTTGTACAAGTATGGTGAATAAAACAGGTAGATATTTATATATAATGTGTGTATATAGCGTAATAACACCACACAGTATTGTTGGAGGAGAAATATTAGTGCGTCTGGCCTTGAGGGCAGCAGCCATCAGCTGACTGTGTGAGGTCCAACGTCTTTGTGCCTTTACTCACCATACAAGCTTAGATGTACAGTTATGGTGAACAACACATGTAGATACTTATTTATAATGTCTGTATATAGTGAATTATAGCAAAAACAGTATTGTGGGAGGAGAATGTGGGTGAGTCAGATGACTTAAGGGAGGGCGGGAGTGGCTGGCTGGTACACGGCGGTCACTCCTCGTTACTTTTTGACTCATAATAGCTACTTAGTGGTTCGTTATAGTGAACAAAACATGCAGATACTTATATATAACCTGTGCTTATAGTGTAATAACCGACAAAGTATTTGTTCACTGATTGATGAACATAATTGAATCAACAATATGCACACCATATTTTTGAGTACAGCAATGATTCACTCATTTTATTATATAAATATATCAAACTACACACTATTGAATAATATTACCGCAAAAAACTATGAAAAATCAATCAGAGACATTTAAATAATTAGGTAATTATCTCTTTGTGGCAACTCCGGCCTGACAGCTGGCAAGCAACAGATCGCCTGGGACGCACGCTGAGTCAGCGCCTATAATTTGCCAGACTTCCCCGCCCTATAGCGGGCAATATATGCCACTTACTATTTTTTTATTATTTTTCCCGTGATCAGTGAACACAAATTAACAGGTTAGGAAGAAAAAATAATTTTTTTTTTTTAATTACATGCGCCTGTGGGGAAGAAAGGATATTATACCCCGAGCATGTTAAGGGTTAACTTCCCTTGCATCTGGCATTTCTGTACATTTTTAAAGGGGCAGGATGGTATTTCCCATATTATCAAGAAGACACTGATGAATTGGTAGTGAGGAAATGCCATTTGTGAAAGGATTGCAGATCATTACTTTGCAATACTATTCTGCAGTAATTGGTTTCAGATTACAATCTTTGCTGAGTTTATGTAGTTCTTTCAAACTCAAGGGTCTTACTAGGCTGTTACAGCAGTGTAGCTAACAACTGTCTAGCAAATACAGTATCTTGTTAGCAGTTTTCACAAACAGTGTAATGTAGATGTGACATTTTCAAAGGTCGTATAATCCTTGATAAATTTCTAAACAGTTCTGAATTTGTTGGGAGCATTTTCCCCATACTCGGCAAGAAGTTTTCAAACTTGCAGTGCCAGTCCTTCCACTCATTGGCTGTTGTAGATGAGGTAGAATCAATATCTAGACGAGTGGACCTTAGTAGCTTGTCCATAGTAGACTTCTCCAGATTGAATAAATTAAACTGGATAGTGATAAATACTATGCTTGAATTTGGTTTTCAAGCTTTATTCAACTTGGTTCCCTACATGATATCTGAAATAACACAAATCAAAGATATCAGAAGAGAATTACAAAATCATCATCATAATGAACCCTATAACAAGAACAAATGAGAATAATCTACCAAATTAGATAATTAGAAATATCGCAGATACCACATCAGATTCTTAACAAATCATGAGCACCTCCCAGAGACCAGGATCAGAATCTGCCCCTCAGTACAGAAAAAGGGGAGTCTCAGGAGGAATTAGAATGCGAGACAAGTCTTCTCTTCTACTGGTGTCCCTCGAAACGTAATGTTCAGGCAGAGGGAAAAATCTGTATTGGGGTGTGTGGATTGTCAGATTGTGGCTTTTTACCTAAGAGGCTAGATGATAATGATAGTTACAAGATACGAGCTAGATGGTGTTGAGATTGCGAAAGGGATCTGGAAGTTATGATCAGTAAGAATTTAAAACCAAAAAAATCAAATGTAAATGTTTGTAATAAGGCAAATAGGACACTGGGATTTATTAATCGAAGTGTTAGTAATAAGACATCTGGTGGTGTCCTTCAGCTATATCTTGCTCTGGTTAGGCCCCATTTAGATTATGCAGTCCAGTTTTGTTCGCCGTACTATAGAATAGATATAAATTCACTAGAACGTGTCCAGCGTAGGATGACAAAATTAATCTCCCAAATTAGAAACCTGTCATATGAAGAAAGATTAAAAAAGCTTAAATTACATTCTCTAGAAAGGCGAAGAATTATGAGTGACATGATAGAGGTGTACAAGTGGATGAATGTACACAACAAAGTGAATATTAATAGGGTATTAAAAGAATGAACACAAGACAGAACCTGAAACAATGGTTATAAATTGGTTAAGTTTACATTTAGGAAAGACCTGGGTAAATACTGGCTCAGTAACAGGGTTGTTGATTTGTGGAGCCAATTACCACGTAACGTAATAGAAGTAGAATCCCTTGATTGTTTCAAGCATAGGTTAGACATAAATATGAATGAGATTGGGTGGGTATAAATGGAGCTGCCTCGTATGGGTCAATAGGCCTTCTGAAGTTACCTTTATTCTTGTGTTCTTATGTTCATTTATAAACATGCATTGAACCAGTGAAAGGTCATATACAATATTATTTTAGTATAATCTTTGTTGTGAGATTGGTCATACCTGCTTGATACCTGCTTGATGGGGTTCTGGGAGTTCTTCTACTCCCCAAGCCCGGCCCGAGGCCAGGCTCGACTTGCGGTTGCGGTCAGCAACATTCTACAGTTTATAGAGTGAGATATTGCAGCTCATGGTGTTATTCCTTAGCCTTTTAAAACATTTTGCCAGTATGGGGTCCTCTCTGCTTGTACTACGACAGTACTCTTGTATAAAATGCCGACATGGCTGTATTAACTTGTATATTTTTTCACTGCCGTGTAATGGCAAATGTATAATTTGTAATGGTGCAGCAAAAATTTATTTGATATATTATGACATGAAATTTGGTTATTTTAATCAAGCAGGTAATAATGCAGGTTAATTTCTGTGGGGGAGCCCCTACGGCTTCCCGGTGTTTACCAGGCTGATATATATATGTATTAGACCATGGTATCAGTCGATGGAGGTCTTGCCTGCTGGGGACCACGAGCCTGAACCTGGCCCCTTCAGAGAGGCACAAGGAGCAATGGCCTATGGTAACCCTCATGTATTTGGAAGCATTCCCTGTCTGCCATTGACCTGGGTTTGGCTCCCAAAAAGGTAGGCGGAACAAAACAAAAACTTCACATAGTAAAAATTGCTACCTAAAACCGAACAGGGAAGCAGAACTCCCAAACTAGAACGAGCAAACAAGCAAACGTCACTAACGCTGTCGTGCCGCCTCGTCTGAGCTGGCCGCTCCAGCAATCAGTTCTTAGACTGATATTGACTGTTGCGGTCGTCGACTCTGGCCTCTGATTCCTTGCAGTTCTGTGCCTTGTGGTGTATTTCTGCAGTGTGTGGTGTGCAGGCCAGAAGTAATTCATCAGTACTGTGGTTGCATGTGCTTAGGGCCTCCTTCCCTTGGTACCCTCTAAGTACTGCACTTGCGTCTTGGGGTTACCTTCCACAGGGCGTTCGGGAACTGCTTCCGTAGGGGTCTGTTGCTGTTCGGCAATTGCCCGCCCTTGGGGTCAGCTATTTTTTTTTGTAGCCACTGTTTGGCCTTTGGTAGGAAGTGGTATTGTTGCTGGTAGGGGCACAAGGTATTGTTCAGCTTGTCTCCCATTATACACGGTGGCCGGTTCTGTTCCTCCTGGGGATGTTGTGCTTTCTCCGAGTTTTCTTTTTCTTTTTGTTAATTTGCCTGGTGGAGGTCAGCCCTCTTGGTTTCTCTACCTTCTGTTATCTTGGTGGGTCTCCATTAGGCCCCCGTGCTTGTACACGTCGCAAGGGTTCAGGTTTTTAGCCGTTCTTTGGTAGTTTGGGCCTAACTGGTTAGCAATACCCTGCCTGGGCTTCCCTTAGCAGTCAGCTTAAGGGCCCTGGAAAACCCCACTGGGGCTCTTAGGACCTATGGATCCATCTGGGTTCCAACTGCCCGAGTGCGAGTTTGATGGTTGCTCTGTCCCCTTGTCTCAGGATCACACTTACCAATTTTGCCTCCGTTATGCTGCCTGTTGGGTCAGTGATACCTTTGACCTGGGGTCTTGAGAGTCTTGTTTCTTGCTCGTGCTCCAGATTACCCAATCTTCTGATATTGAAGTTCGGGTACAGGCGGCTTCGGCATTGCATGTTTGTTATCGGTTGCTACAGTGTGCTAGGTTGATTGCTCACCCGGATGCCCCGAGGCTGCCCTGCTTGGGTTATAGGGACTTGGACTTTTTTATTTGATGCCTAATACTGCCGCCTCGTATCATGCGGCGCTGGCGGAGCTGCTTCAGTGTGCGTTTGGGGTGGATGTTACTTCTGCCCCATTCTGTAAGCTTTCTTGTGCTTTGTTTCACCTCTGGCCTGCTCATGCGCCATCTGAGCCATCCCGGTCTGTGGACAGGGAGTTCTCTTTTCTCTCTTCTCCTTGGTTTGTGTTGGGCCCTTCAGTACAAGATTTTTTCATGGCTCTTTTTTTTTTCCTGTTGGCATTGGCTTCTGGGGGGTTGGATCAGGGAGTTTCATGCTCTCCTCCGGTGCAGAGGTTTCTGTTCTTTCAGTCCTGGCGGTAAGTTTGTTCATTTGTAGCAGTCTCCTTATTTTCTGGCGAAGAATGAGTCGGCAGCATTTCGGAGGGGTCATTGGGTCATTGATGCTTGGTTGGTCAGTCCGGGGGTGCATCATGTGTTGTGTCTGGTTGCGGCTCTTCATCGTTATTTGCCCACCACGGCCTCTGTGACCGGGGATGCACTTTGGGTTGACTCGGTTTTCCCTCGTTTCCTGTTCCAGGGCTCGAGTCTCCCAGGTCGTCCGTAGGGTTATTCGGTCCAGCCAGTCTGCAGTCTTATCATTGTGCCCATGACGTTTGTAAGTTTGCTGCTTTGGCTGCCATCTTTGGTAGCATATCTTGGGCCGACAATCGGGCACAGGGATTTTAGAGGTCGAACAGGATCTTGGCCGCATGTTACTTGGTCAACGTTCCTGGCCCTAGTAGGGCATGTGTCGCTTTGGGTTGCAGATTGCTGCCAGATGTCTTGACTTCGAGTTAAGATGCGAGTGTCGGCCGTCTCCCGGGTAAGTCTCTCTTGCCGTTTTTCTTTGGTTAGGTAGCTCCGGGGAGCCGTAGGGGCTCCCCACAGAAAGTCAGCATTGGTCCGTTGGCTCCCTCCCAGGGAGTGGGGGATGTGGGGGGGGCTGCATGGACAAGCGGTGCGATGGCATTAGTGACGTTTGCTTGATTGCTTTGTTTTTGTTTGTTTTAATTTGGGAGTTCTGCCTCCCTGTTCTGTTTTAGGTAGCAATTTTTATCATGTGGGGTTTGTTTTGTTATGCTACCTACCTTTCTGGGTGTCAAACCTCGGTCGATGGCAGACATGGCATGGTTCCAAATACATGGGGGGTTACCATAGGCCATTGCTCCTCGTGCCTCTCTGAGGGGGGCCAGGTTCTGGCTCAAGGTCCCCAGTAGGCAAGAACTCCATCGACTGATGCCACGCTCTAATACAGTACAGTACAGTACTGTATATACATATCTGCCTGGTAAGCTTTGGGGAGCCTCTGGGGCTCGCCCAGAAAATGACGTTTCATTACATTCAACACTGTTTATTTTTGCTCCTCAGGGTAATGTTGGAGATTCACGAGCTATAGCAAGTGTTGGAGGGCGTGTTGAAGAGCTGAGCAATGACCATAAGCCAAGTTTAGCATCAGAGCAACGGAGAATTACAGCAGCCGGGGGATGGGTGGAACTGAATAGAGTTAATGGCAATTTAGCTTTGTCAAGAGCTTTGGGTGATTTTGTTTTTAAGAAGAATGAACTGAAAAGTCCTGAAGAACAAATTGTTACTGGTAAGAATAAGGTTTAGTGGGATAATGATCTTAATAGTATTCTTATTTTGGTTATTATTTAAATACTGTTACGTTGATTGTTACTTCAAATGTGTCAGGTTATCACTTTCTCTGTTTTGAAATTCTCAAATATTTTTGGTCTGTGTACTTTCAGAATGCAGCATTGTACAGTATTTTGAAGTACATATATATTTGTAATTCATTAGCTAATCCTAGTTTCCTGATGTTCAATGCTGGTTATCATACTTGTACTGTAGCTGTCTTGGAGTTAGGTGATTTTTTCTTATTTAATATATATACAGTACATAGATTAAATATTACCTGTCAGTGATTCTGAGGATCAACATACCTGCAAGCCCAAACCTTTATAAATTAAAGTTATATGTTAACTCATATCCTAGGTTAATTTTTCAGCCCTCCTAAGATTAACATTTTGTTCTGATTTGCTTCAGCATGTCCAGATGTCATAACACGAGAGATATCAGAAGATTGGGAATTCATCTTGTTAGCGTGTGATGGCATATGGGACGTCATGACCAATCAAGTAATTTTTTCAAATTTTTTAATGCAGTAATACAGTATACTGGGTAGTATTTGTGTCATAACTTTTATAGTCCTGTAGTAATGTAATTCATTATAGTATTGTATTTTGGTAATACTGAAATACAGTACAATACAGAACCTGTGCCAGGTTCTGTATTTCGTTCAGTAATACTTTGCTCTTAAAGTAAGTTAAGAGCAAAGACAAGTTAAAGTAAGTTAAAGACAAGTTAATACTTACTGTATATTGGATTTAATAGGATTTTATATTTGGGTTACATAGTGTTTGAAATGAGGTTACAGGACATGCTTTTCTGTGGAGAGCCCCTCCAGCTCCCTAGAGCTTACCGGGCTGATATGTATGTATTAGGCCATGGCATCAGTCAATTCAATGGAGTTCTTGCCTACCAGGGACCACGAGCCAGAACCTGGCCCCCTCAGAGAGGGATGAACAACAATGGCCTATGGAAACCCACGTGTGGTTGGAAGCATTCCATGTCTGCCATCGATCAGGTTAGCAGTACGGAGCCGGTCGGCCGAGCGGACAGCACGCTGGACTTGTGATCCTGTGGTCCCGGGTTCGATCTCAGGCGCCGGCGAGAAACATTGGGCAGAGTTTCTTTCACCCTATGCCCCTGTTACCTAGCAGTAAAATAGGTACCTGGGTGTTAGTCAGCTGTCACGGGATGCTTCCTGGGGGTGGAGGCCTGGTCGAGGACCGGGCCGCTTCGACACTAAAAAGCCCCGAAATCATCTCAAGATAACCTCAAGATAACCACCCAGAAAGACAGGCATCCCAAAACAAACTCCACCTGGTTAAAAAATTGCTACCAAAAGCTGAACTGTCAAGCAGAATTCCTCATCTGAAAACTAGCAAACAGGCATGACGTTATAATCACCACTGCACTGCTGTCTGCACAGTTCATCCCCCTTCCCGGGAGGGGAAAGGGGGAGCCCCAGACCCTCGCACCGGCTATCCAACCCCAGTTCTGAGGCTAATAAAGAAATATTGCCGGAACAACCGTGGACATTTTCAAGAGGAAACTAGATTTATTCCTCCAAGGAGTGCCGGACCAACTGGGCTGTGGTGGGTATGTGGGCCTGCGGGCCGCTCCAAGCAACAGCCTAGTGGACCAAGCTCTCACAAGTCAAGCCTGGCCTCGGGCCGGGCTTGGGGAGTAGAAGAACTCCCAGAACCCCATCAACCAGGTATCAACCAGGTAATGTGTTGTGGCGATCGTTCGACTCTGGATCCTGTTTCTCTGCAGTGCTTTGCCCTTGTGATGGTGGTCTGCTGTGTGATGGTGTGCGAGCCAGGAGTAATTTACAGAGTACTGTGGCTGCATGCTCCTAGGGCCACCTTTCCTAGGTTCCTTGTAACCTTACAGGGACCTGTAACCTCAAAACCACAAGGGCAGGTTTCCTGCCCTTGTGGCTTGGGGGTTATCTTCCACAAGTCGTTCGAGGACTACCTCTGTAGGGATCTTTTGCTACTCGGTGATTACCCGCCTATGGGGTCAGCTGGGGTTTTCATAGCCGCTGTTTGACCTTGGGTAGTAGGTGATATCGTCGCTGGTAGGGGCGCAAGGTACTGTGCAACTTTTCTCCCATTATACACAGCAGCTGGTTCTGCTCCTCCTGGAGACGTTGTGCTTTGGTGGTGTTTTTCTTTTCTTTTTGTTTTCTTACCTGGTAGTGGCTCATCCCTTGGTCATAGTCCTCCCTCTGTTATTCTGTTGGTTCCCCCGCTAGGTCCCTGTGATTGTGCACATCGCAGGGGGTTCAGTTTTAGTTGTTCTCTTGGTAGTTTGGGCCAACCGGTTAGCAGTACCTTGCCTGGGCATCCCTTAGCAGTCAGCCTAAGGGCCCTGGAAAACCCCACTGGGGCTCATTGGTCCCATGGATGCGTCCTCTGGGTCCAATCTCATCGAAAGCCGATCTGTCTCCTTGTCTCAGGGGTGACTTTCACCATCTTTGCCTCCGTCATGCTGCCTGTTGGGTCAACAATGCCTTTGACCCCTAAGTCCTGCAAGTGGTGTCCACTTATATTGATCTTCAGGTGCAGACAGCAGTGGCATTGCATGCGAGGGTTAGGTTGCTGCAATGCACTAGGTTGGTTGCCAATCCAGATGCCCTGAGGCTGCCCGGCTTGGGTTACAGAGACCTGGACTTGGGAGCATCAGTCACTTCAACTTTGGTTTCGTCTGTGCTCCCTGGTCCTTTCCCTGTTGTTGTTCGTTCTGCTTCCCCCTCCCTATCCCCTTGCTGTCGGCTCTCAAACGTCTGAGGGTTTTGGAGTCGGGGCAGGGTTTAGCTGGTGGTGAGACTTGGGCAGTTTCGGGGGCTGCCCCATCTGGTTCGGTGAGGGAGGCATTTGAGCCTGTTCCTCTTGCTGGGACTTCTGGGTCTGACCTGTGGGCCACCTTCTTCCCAGCCTTTCCGGTGGACTCTGCCTTTTCTTCAGCAGAGGGTTTGGAGGACAGCTCTGCCTTGGGTCCTGACGTGGAGGATCACAGAGCTGGAGAGGAATTGACTTGGGGGACTTTGGCCCTGTTTGACTCCGCTTGGGTGTTGGCACCCTTGGCGCGGGGTTTGTTACAGGTGAAGGAGTTTTCTTATCCCCCCCGCCCCTCCCTGTGCGAGTTTGATTCGAATTCTGCTCCTCCCTGGGTTTGGCTCTGGTTCCCTTGGATTCTTTGGTCCCTTTCTTCGGGAGGTTCTCGGGTTCCCGCATCCCGCCTAAGGAGGTTTGGGAGGCCATGGCAGTGTACCTCCTGCGTGACCTGGATTTCACCTCGATAATTGATCCTTCCTCGTTTGAGTTCGGTGCAGTTTTTCCTTTTGAGTGCATTACAAGGTGCCGGAGTCTTCCTGGTTGGCAGACTGTCCTTTCTTTTCGTTGGGGGCATGGTATGCATTCTGTCGGACCCGCACGCTTGAATAGCGGGAAACGTCTGCTGTTGTTCAGGTTTACTTGGGGTGGCGAGTTTGAATGCCTTGATGCGTGCTTGTTCACCCTACTCTTCCTGAGGATATCGGCCAGGTGAAGCTTCACGTGCAGGTTCACGTCCTTTCAGGCGACCCTGGTAACTGAGGATTTGCTTACCTGTCGGCAGTTGGCTTCGGTCTTGAATTACTTTTCCCTTCTTGAACTGTCTTTGGACTGGCTTGAGGAGGATGTAGAGGCGCTAGGTATCGGGCCTTTGTCCGGTGCGCTTGCCTTGGCGGCTTGGCTCGTAGGCTGCCTTGTTGAAATTGTTTGCGCCGAATCTCAGGGAGGCGGTGTCCTGTTCTTTGCTTCTCGCCTCGTGTGCCGACAGGCTGTACTCGCTCACTCCTTTGAATTCGTGTTGGCCCTGGCTCTTTTATTTTCGTCACCTTTTTATCTGTTGCTATTTGCAGAGTCTGTGACTGGGCAGTATCTGCAGGCGGCTTCGTCTAGCTGTTGGCCTATGTCGGACTTGTTAGTTCTCCAGGGTGGATGTGGTGGTCCTGCCTGGAAGGGTCGTGCCAGGGTTCGGGGTGCCTTCGGTCGTAGTAGACCAGCGGTGCCAGTTTCAAAGCCGGCGGCATCTGGTCGGTGCGGTACTCGCTCTGAGCATTGGTTGGCTTCTCGTAAGGGGCATTGGCTCTTTTTCGGGTCGCCCTGTTGACAGGGCGATGGTGGGGAGGCTCGCGCTGTTTGTTCACGCCTGGTTACACGATTTGTGGGCATTTTGGGTCGAAACTTTTGGCCTGCGGTGGCATTGGGTGGCTCCTCCTCCTTTGGGATGGTTGGGGGCTGGTGGGGCAGGCCTCTTCCCCTGCCCTCTGTCGGGTTATCCTGGAGTAGGTGCACTTGGGCATGGTCGAAACGTCGACGTCCCTCGGGTGGGTTTCCCGCCTGTTTTCATTCCTGAAATGGGACTGTGCTGATCTGTGGTTCATCCTGGACTTGTCCTGCCTGAACCCCTGGATTTATTGGCCCTCCTATCTGATGACTACTGTCCCAGATCTGGCTTTTGTTGGAGCTGGGTGCTTGGATAGTTTCTCTGGAACTCCGGGACTCGTATTGGCACATCTTGATTCATCTGGGGGTTCAGGGACTGGCTGCATTTTGTTATGAGGCGGCAAGCTTACCGCTTTCGCTGCCTACCATTCAGCTTGAATCTGGCACCTTGCATGTTCACATGCCTTACCCGGGTCGTGGTGACCCGTTTGCATCTGCTAGGGGTTGGCGTTCAGGGTAGATGTTACTTCCTCTCTATTTTGCAAGCTGTCTCGTGCGTTGTTTCACCTCCAGCCTGCTCATACGCTGCCTGAACCGTCCTGGTCGTTGGACCGGGTGTTCTCTTTTCTCTACTTGGTTTGTGGTGGCCCCTTCCAGTTCAGGCTTGTTTTGCTAGGGCTCTTTTCTTATTGACATTGGCCTCTGGGGGTCGGGTCGAGGAGCTTCATGCTCTCCTCTGATGCAGGAGTTTCTGCTCTTTCGGTCCTGGTGATCGGTTTGTTCGTTTGCAGCAGTCTCTTTCTTTTCTCTCGAAGAATGATTGCTTTCCAGAGAGGTCCTTGGATTGTTGATGCTTGGTTTGTTCGACCAGGGGTACATCATGTGTCTGGTTATGGCTCTTCGCCGATACTTGTGCGCCATAGCTTCGGTGGCTGGGAACTCGCTTTGGGTTGACCTGGTTTCCCTTCTTTCCTGTTCCAGGGCTTGAGTCTTCCAAGTATTCCGCAGGGTTATTTGGTCTAGCCAGCCTGCGGTCTATCCTCATGCCCATGATGTTCGCAAGTTTGCTGCTTTGGCTGCCATTTTTGGTAACATGTCTTGGGCTGACATTCGGGCACAGAGATTTTGGAGGTTGAACAGAGTCTTGGCCGCCTGTTATCTTGTTAGTGTTCCTGGCCCTAATCGGGTGTGTATCGCTTTGGGTCGCAGGTTGCAGCCAGTTGTCTCAACTTTGAGTTGAAGCGCAAGTGGTGGCTGCCTTCCGGGTAAGTCCCTCTTTTATTTGTCTTTGATTAGGTAGCTCTGGGAAGCCGAAGGGGCTCTCCACCTAAAACCAGTGTTGAATGCAATGAAACGCCATTTTCTGGGCGAGTCCCGGAGGCTCCCTGGCAACCTCCCGCCCTTCGGTTGGCATTTCTTTCGCGTTTTTTGACATTCACCCTCTGAACTGGGGTTAGATAGCTGGTGCGAAGGCTGGGGCTCCCCCTACCCCCGTCTCTGAGAGGGGGGAAACTGCACAGACAGCAGCACGGTGGTGATTGTGAGGTCATGCTTGTTTGCTTATTTTCAGATTGTTGAGTTGTGCTTGACAGTTTGGCATTCGGTAGCAATTTTTTAACCAGGTGGAGTTTTGGGATGCCTATTTTTCTGGGTGCCTAACCCGGTTAATGGCAGACATGGTATGCTTCCAACCACATGGAGATTTCCATAAGTCATTGCTGCTCGTGCTTCTCTGAGGGGGCCAGGTTCTGGCTCGTGGTCCCTGGTAGGCAAGAACTCCATCAAATTGACTGATGCCATGGCCTAATACAACAATATCAGCCCGGTAAGCTCAGAGGAGTCTCCGGGACTCGCCCAGAAAATGGCATTTCATTATATTCAATGCTTTTTTTTGTGTAAATTTTCTCCCTTTCTTCACTTTACCTAATTAACTGAAAGTGGGTATCCAGTTTTTTCAAGGGGGAAGCCCTTTGAGGATCCCTCAAGATTCAATGTTAATATAGTGCAAACTACTAGTTGGCATCGGTTGTGAGGTTCTTTTCCACTTACTGGGGATCACGAGCCAGAACCTGGTCCCCTTTATAATTGGAGCAGGGAACAGCAGCACTATGATAAAATGTTCAGTGAATTTGAATCATGTCGACAATCACCAGAGAGGCACCCACAAAGTCAGTGAAACAAAATGAAGCACTGCTAGTTATCAATGCCTCAAAATCCCTAACAATGTTAACAAATGATCAAAAATTCATGAAACTAGTGCGAGCTCGTTTGCCTCACCTTCCACTCTCATTTCGGGGAAGGAGGGAGCAGACTGGGGTCATGAGGATTACAAGACATATGACCCTGCTATGGTTCATAGCTTGCCTTTTCCCGATAGCTGCATCACTGTCATTCTAGCAAACTTGAATTTCACAGAATGCCTTGAGTTGTGCTGTGGAATATTACACGTCAGTGTTAAATTTTGTGACGTGAAACAATAGGTATAAATTGGGTAAGTTTTAGATTTAGGAAAGGCCTGGGTAAATACTAGTTCATTAACTGGGTTGTTGATTTGTGGAACCAATTACCACGTAATGTAATAGAAGTATGATCCCTTGGTTGTTTCAAGCATAGTTTAGACATATACAGTGGAGCCTCGAGTGACAAGTGGCTCCGTCTACAAGCATTTCAAGTAACGAGCAAGCCACTCGCTGAAAATTTGTCTCGATTGATGAGCTTCCACTCTAATGATGAGAAAACCATGTGGTGCTTCCTAGCATTCCCGCTGGCTCTCGTAAATTCTCAGACGCCTCTGACGATGCAAATAATTTTTTTTTTTAAAAGATGCTAGTGATGCTGGGATGTAAAGGGGTGACTGCTGTAATGTTGCTAAGCAATGAATTTTTTTTAGAAAATATAAAAAAAATTGAAAAATTTGAAAAAAGAACAAGTGTCAAAAAGGTTCGTTCAGTGTATGTCAGGTAGGCTGCTCCATTTTCTATAAAAAATGAAAAATAATTTTTTTTTTTAAAAGTCATAAAGGTTCGTTCAGTTTGTCAGGTAGGCTGCTCCATTATTTAAAAAGCGTATATCATGTTGATATTTTTTGGTGGTGGGATGGATTCATTTTATTTCCATTATTTTATACGGGGAAATTTGTTTTGAAAGACGAGCGTTTCACATGATGAACTCGGTGCCGGAACGGATTAAATTCGTTGCTCGAGTCTCCACTGTATATGAATGAGATTGTGTGGTTTATAAATAGGAGCTGCATCATATGGGCCAATAGGCCTTCTGCAGTTACCTTTGTACTTATGATCTTAATGTCAACACTTTTTACTCAATAATATACTCACTCCTTCCCCGTTTCTCATTTTCTCTATGCTGCTCTTACAATATTTGCTTCCTTTGTTCTCCCTTCTCTTTATCTTTGTGTTACTCGGTCTTTAATACAAATGGAAAACTAGAAGGGGTTAAAGTTATTAAAGATGGTAAGCTTACCTTGAGGTTACCTTGAGGTTACCTAGAGGTGCTTCCGGGGCTTAGCGTCTCCGCGGTCCGGTCGTCGACCAGGCCTCCTGGTTGCCGGACTGATCAACCAGGCTGTTGGACGCGGCTGCTCGCAGCCTGACATATGAGTCACAGCCTGGTTGATCAGGTATCCTTTGGAGGTGCTTATCCAGTTCTCTCTTGAACACTGTGAGGGGTCTACCAGTTATGCCCCTTATGTGTAGTGGAAGAGCGTTGAACAGTCTCGGGCCTCTGATGTTGATAGAGTTTTCTCTCAGAGTACCTGTTGCACCTCTGCTTTTCAACGGGGGTATTCTGCACATCCTGCCATGTCTTCTGGTCTCATGTGATGTTATTTCTGTGTGCAGGTTTGGGACCAGCCCCTCTAATATTTTCTACGTATTATGTATCTCTCCCGCTTGCGCTCAAGGGAGTACAGATTTAGGCTCTTTAGTCGGTCCCAATAGTTTAGATGTTTTACTGAGTGGATTCTAGCAGTAAAGGATCTCTGCATGCTCTCCAGGTCAGCAATTTCTCCAGCTTTGAAAGGGGCTGTCATTGTGCAGCAGTACTCCACTCTAGAGAGCACAAGCGTTTTGAAAAGTATCATCATCGGTATAGCATCTCTAGTGTGAAAAGTTCTTGATGAAAAGCTTGATGAAAAATTTGTTCATAAGTTTCATGAACTTGCAATTCTTAAAAACTTTAACCACATCTGGCTCCCTATGTGCCTCCCCTTGCTGTCGAGGACTCCAGCAGCTGTGGTCCCCTCAGATCAAAGACAGTTTCCAAAATACTGGGTAGATGGTAGTTCCTCAGCCTAATGTCCTACCTTTTGTCAAAGGAGAGGCAGTGCTCTTACTGTTCTAAAAATGTGTAAATTAAAACAAGAATTCAAAATAAAAAATAATTTAGTAGGAGAAACCCAGTCTTTGTAGATCATTTTTGTGTTGATTAATTACCATCTGGTTGATACCTGGTTGATACCTGGTTGATACCTGGTTGATGGGGTTCTGGGAGTTCTTCTACTCCCCAAGCCCGGCCCGAGGCCAGGCTTGACTTGTGAGAGTTTGGTCCACCAGGCTGTTGCTTGGAGCGGCCCGCAGGCCCACATACCCACCACAGCCCGGTTGGTCCGGCACTCCTTGGAGGAATAAATCTAGTTTCCTCTTGAAAATGTCCACGGTTGTTCCGGCAATATTTCTTATGCTTGCTGGGAGGACGTTGAACAACCGCGGACCTCTGATGTTTATACAGTGTTCTCTGATTGTGCCTATGGCACCTCTGCTCTTCACTGGTTCTATCATCGATAGATGATAGAGCCCAATAGGCTCAGGAATCTGTACACCAGTTGATTGACAGTTGAGAGGCGGGATCAAAGGGCCAAAGCTCAACCCCCCGCAAGCACAATTAGGTGAGTACAGTTGTTCTGTACTTGGGCTGCATAATTCACTTCTAAAGTTTTTTACTGGCACACATATTTTGTAATTGTTTACTAGTACCAGTAAATATAGGATCAATATGTTCATTCATTATCATTACCCTGTGTCCTATTTTTATGGGAGTTGGGCGGCATGAGCTCAGAGGAAAACTGTTAAATAATGATGTTATTGTGAAAGAAGGTTATGGATATTAATAAACTACCATATATCACTTGTCCATTTGTTACATCTCTACCTGCAGTATATAATAAGGACCCCCTAATTATATTTGCAGGAAGTGGTAAACTTTGTGAGACTACGGTTGTCTCAGGGAATGGAGCCGGAAGATGTGTGTGAGGATCTGATGACGAGGTGCCTGGCTCCGGACTGTCAAATGGGTGGACTGGGCTGCGACAACATGACTGTCGTTCTCATCTGCCTCGTTCATTCCGGGTCTTGGCGTGAGGTATAGTTATCTACCGGGTTTGTTGGAGGGTGTCAAGATTTCTTACGCACTAGTCGCAGATAAAAAAAAAACATTACATTGGCGAGATACCCTCCCCTCCAATATACTGGAATAAATGAGGGTTATCCATAATACAGATTTTTGTATTTTAAGGTTTATATTGCTTTAGAGTTACAATACAGTATACATGAAAACAATTTTATATATCACTTCAATATACAGTACAATATTTTATGTTGACTAAACCACACACTAGAAAGTGAAGTGACGACGTCGTTTCGGTCCATCCTGGACCATTCTCAATATTATATAACTTTGCTTTATTTATCTGCATACCATTTTGTGACTCCATATAAATTTCCCTACATTTTAAGGTGCATGTGCTGTATAAAGAAATATTTTATTAAAGAAAAGTAAAGAGGAGGAAGTATGAAGTTAAATAATTGAGTACATTAGGGAATGTGTGTGTTTGGACCATGGTGTATAGTGGTGGCTTGTTTGGACTATGGTGTATAGTGGTGGCGTGTTTGGACCATGGTGGATAGTGGTGGCTTGTTTGGACCATGGTGGATAGTGGTGGCTTGTTTGGACCATGGTGTATGGTGGTGGCATGTTTGGACCAGGGTGTATAGTGGTGACATGTTTGGACCATGGTGGATAGTGGTGCACGTTTGGACCATGGTGGATAGTGGTGCATGTTTGGACCATGGTGTATAGTGGTGGCATGTTTGGACCAGAGTGTATAGTGGTGGCATGTTTGGACCATGGTGTATAGTGGTGACATGTTTGGACCATGGTGTATAGTGGTGACATGTTTGGACCATGGTGTATAGTGGTGACATGTTTGGACCATGGTGTATAGTGGTGGCGTGTCTGGACCATGGTGTATAGTGGTGGCGTGTTTGGACCATGGTGTATGGTGGTGGCGTGTTTGAACCTTGGTGTATAGTGGTGGCATGTTTGGACCATGGTGTATGGTGGTGACAAGTTTGGACCATGGTGTATGGTGGTGGCAAGTTTGGACCATGGTGTATGGTGGTGGCATGTTTGGACCATGGTGTATGGTGGTGGCAAGTTTGGACCATGGTGTATGGTGGTGGCAAGTTTGGACCATGGTGTATGGTGGTGGCGTGTTTGAACCTTGGTGTATAGTGGTGGCATGTTTGGACCATGGTGTATGGTGGTGGCAAGTTTGGACCATGGTGTATGGTGGTGCAAGTTTGGACCATGGTGTATGGTGGTGGCAAGTTTGGACCAGAGTGTATAGTGGTAGCATGTTTTGACCAGGTCTACTCTCCACTGTCACTCTGCCCAATTTTGTGATACTTGTAAATTTTCTTGTCACTGGGCAAGTCACATAGAGCCTGGCAAGTCACATAGAGCCTGGCAAGTCACATAGAGCCTGGCAAGTCACATAGAGCCTGGCAAGTCACATAGAGCCTGGCAAGTCACATAGAGCCTGGCAAGTCGGACAGAGCCTGGCAAGTCGGACAGAGCCTGGCAAGTCGGACAGAGCCTGGCAAGTCGGACAGAGCCTGGCAAGTCGGACAGAGCCTGGCAAGTCGGACAGAGCCTGGCGGGTCGGACAGAGCCTGGCGGGTCGGACAGAGCCTGGCGGGTCGGACAGAGCCTGGCGGGTCGGACAGAGCCTGGCGGGTCGGACAGAGCCTGGCGGGTCGGACAGATCCTGGCGGGTCGGACAGATCCTGGCGGGTCGGACAGATCCTGGCGGGTCGGACAGATCCTGGCGGGTCGGACAGATCCTGGCGGGTCGGACAGATCCTGGCGGGTCGGACAGATCCTGGCGGGTCGGACAGATCCTGGCGGGTCGGACAGATCCTGGCGGGTGGGACAGATCCTGGCGGGTGGGACAGATCCTGGCGGGTGGGACAGATCCTGGCGGGTGGGACAGATCCTGGCGGGTGGGACAGATCCTGGCGGGTGGGACAGATCCTGGCGGGTGGGACAGATCCTGGCGGGTGGGACAGATCCTGGCGGGTGGGACAGAGCCTGGCGGGTGGGACAGAGCCTGGCGGGTGGGACAGAGCCTGGCGGGTGGGACAGAGCCTGGCGAGTCGGACAGAGCCTGGCGAGTCACATACCTTTCCTTTCATTCAATGTTTTTTCCCCTCACCTTGATAGTGGAAATAGTATGATGATGTGAATTAAAGTTGTAATGTATTGCCCAGGCCAATGGTCGTGATGATTCTCAAAAATATGGTTAGGATTTTTTTATTTTTGAGATATATACAAGAGTTGTTACATTCTTGTACAGCCACTAGTACGCGTAGCGTTTCGGGCAGGTCCCTGGAATACGATCCCCGCCGCGAAGAATCGTTTTTACAACCAAGTACCCATTTTACTGTTGAGTTAAACAGAGGCTACAGTTAAGGAATTGCGACCAGTAAATCCTCCCCGGCCAGGACACAAACCCATGACAAAGCGCTCACGGACACCAGGTGAGTGTCTTACCACTACACCATGGAGACTGGTTTTCATTTCCCAACTTGATAAATTTATTGGTTACTTTACTATGATGATGAAATATCCAACAAAACAATGTGAGTTGTCATTTGTGGTATTTGCCAGTTATTATTAGTATTTACCTGGTACAGTACTATACAATTTGCTTGCCTTGGCTGATGAACTACAGATTACACACTTTATACAGTGAACTCCTGATAATCATTTTAGTTTGGGGGATTTACACACTTTTCTTCATTCTAACAAGTTTTTGTTCTAATGTTCTTTTATTGTGTTCCTCTGTATTAGTCAAACTAGGTATGATCCTTTTTAATTTTTCGGAAATTTCTGCAGGAAATGTTGATCATTAGGGGGCGCATGTTGGTAGATGGTACTGTGGCTTTTAAACCTAGTGGATCATCAAGCGACTCGAGTGACAAGGAACATATTTGCACACCAAACTTCAATAGTGCTGGTGTTGAAGATGAATAAGATTGAGTGCCTTAGTGTTACACAGATTTAGGATATTTTTAAGTAAGTGAAAACATTAAAGATTATAGATTTTTTCTATAATGTTGAAGATTAGAGAGGTACAGTAATATATCATCTCTGAAATAACTGATCCTGAGCCTTTCTTCTGCATCTATTTCTTGGTAGGTTTCCTCAGTAGCTCAGCTCATCTTAAGGCACTGGTGCAGTAGGGCCATCCTTAGCATGCCAGACTTTTGTAACTATCTCGGCTCGCCAGTTATGTGTAACATGTCGGTGATTTTTGTTTGCCTTAAAGGGGCAGGGGGGGGGGGGGGAGTAACATGTGAAGATCATGTGCCGACTCACAACTGAGGAAGACCACCAACACCAACTTGCCTGTGAAATATTTAGAAAAGTCATAACTCGTAAAAAACTAACTTGCAAAACTTGTAAAATCAACCTGCTGACTATTGAACGAGTCCTGGTGTGCCACCTCCCTCCTGTCACCAGGTGGATCCTTCACACACCTTATTACGCTCGTTGAGATCCCTCTAAGCCAATTACTGTCTTTCCCAAGGATGCTACTCCCAACAGTTTTCTAACTCTTAGGGTACCTATTTACTCCAAGGTGAACAGAGGCATCAGCTAAAAGGAAATATATTTTGCCACAGGACCCAAATCTGGGACCTCTCAGTTGTGATCTGACTGAGCTGATCACTGTACTATAGGATATAGAACCTTTGTGCTTGAAAGTGGCATGAAGTGATTTTTCATTCTTTCTGTGACCATTTATGTACTCATTGTAATGAGTTTTGGTGTTTGAGTCTTGTTCTTATACTCTCATGCCTGGAAAAGTCACCAGAAGTTCTGCTGGGCTTGGACAATGCATTATCAGTGCATCAGAGAGGCTGCTTATGCCATATATCTGCTGGATGGGATTCTATGGATTCTGCACCCAATTCAGAGCCTGACTTTGATGCGTGCAGTTTTCCTGGCTGTATGGCAGTATTTGTTTACACCATTGGTCACTCCTGTTGCCTCTGGTATTCATCCTCCTGGGTTCTGTGGCATTTCCTCTCTTGGATGTGTAGTGCATGACTTCGTTGCACCTTTGTAATTGTTGAACTACCCTCTCTTACAGCAGCCTATTTGTTTGTGGCATATTTATGGTTTAGCACTCTGCATTTAAAGTTTTTACAGTATCTGACCATCACCAGTGTGGAGTTCATGAATTTCCTTTTGCTTCTGAGAGGAACTCCTCAATTCCCAAAGCCTAGCTCTGTTATGACCAAGCCTTTGTCCATCACAGCATGTCACTGAAACCCATCCCTTAGCTACAGGGAGCTAGATCCAGAATCTCCCTTGCTCTACGAGGCAAGGGAATAAATTCCTCCAAGGAGTGCCGGACCAACCATTCTGTGGTGGGTATGTGGGCCTGCGGGCCGCTCCAAGCAACAGCCTAGTGGACCAAACTCTCACAAGTCAAGCCTGGCCTCGGGCCGGGCTTGGGGAGTAGAAGAACTCCCAGAACCCCATCAACCAGGTATCAACCAGGTAAGTGGTCAGAGATTGGCCACAAAACTGTGGAAAACCCAGCAAAAACCATATGCCTAAAATTCAAGCATCTGCTTCAACGAAAACAAGGTAGTCGTTACTGCAAGATAAATATCTATAATTACAAAAGTGTAATTACCTATGTGTAGTTACAGGTGAGAGCTATGCTCGTGGTGTCCCATCTTCCCAGTACTGTTTTATCATGCTTTGAAACAACAAACGTTTTTGACCTCCACCACCTCTTCGCTTAACCTGTTCCAACCTGTACCTGTATGTGTACGTGTTCCAACGTGTACCTCTCTGTTTGCGAAAGTGAATTTCCTGTGGGAGCCCCTATGGCTCTCTGGAGCTATCGGGCTACTGTGTGATATATTAGATCGTGGCATTAGCTATGGACTTTGACCAACCAAGAACCACGAGCCAGAACCTGGCCCCATCAGAGAGGTTGCAGGGAGCAATGGCCCTGGAAAACTCCCCTCCCCCTCCCTGTGGTTGGGGGTTTTCCTTATTTGCCATCGACCAGGGTTAGGCACCCAGAAAGGTAGGCATAACAAAAACAAACACCACCTGGTAAGAAACTAACAACTAAAACCATAAACTCCCTCCAATCCCAAGGAAACAAACAAACATCACACTCTATTGCCGCACCGGTCGTCCATGCAGACCTCCATGCAGGCATTCGAGCCTGCTTCTCCTGCCGAGGCTTCTGGGTCTTACCAGTGGCCCGTTCTTTGCTGCCTTCCCTCTGGATTCTGCATTTTCTAAGGGGGGTGGAGGTTGTGGAGGACAGCTCTGCCCCGGGGCCTCTGTTGCAGGTTCCCGGGGTTGTGGAGTGAATGAGTTGCCCACTAGCCATTTTAGGGGCTGTTTGCTGCCTGGATTTTCTGCCTTCTGGGCGTTTTTTTTTTTTTTTTCCCTTTTGTCTGCTTATTCTCTCACATTTGCTGGAGTGTTTTTCGGATCTCTTGCATCAGCCACGTCTCCTTTTGTTATGGTGGCCATTTTCAGTCCTGCGGATCGCTTCCCCGTCTGGTCACCAGGGCGGTGCTGTGGTTTGTTTGTTTACCTGTGCCTGGGTGTGTGCGCTTCCATTTCGGGGGTGTTTTTCACCTTTAGAGGTTTTATTCTCCAGTTGTCATTCTCGGTTTTTGCTTTCATTTTAAAGGGTGTTCTGCCCTTCTCCTGTTCCTCTGGGTTCGCTTAGGTGTTGTTTTTCACTCGGTTTTGTGTTTTCTGTCTGTTCGGGCCCAGTGTCCTTGGCCGTTTACTATGCTTGCTCCCAGTTCTTTTGTCCCTCGGTTTTCGGTCCATTTCTGGCTGTTTCACTGGGAGTTCAGTCTGGGTGCTGTGTTTTGCCCTGCCTTTCTCTGGTGCATTTCCATTGGCAAATGTGGTGGGTGGGCTTTTCCCCTCTGGTTCGATTCCGGGTTCCTTTGGGCTCTTTAGTTTCATTTTCAAGGTTTCCTTCCTCTCTGGTCCCTTTTGGGGGTTCTGGAGGCCCTTCGTTATCTCCTGTGTGCCCCGGTCCTGCCCCTTCTGGGGTTCTGGGGTCTTCCTGGCTTGCAGACTGCTCTTTTTGGGTCTTGGCTTGTGTTTTGTGGTTGTATCGGGGCTTTGGTTTTTGTTGGAGAGCTACCCCCAAAAACCCAATGGTAAATGTAATGAAGTGCCTCTTTCTGGTAGAGCCCTGGTGGCTCCTTGATTCCCTCCAGACTCATGGGTTCATTGTTGGGTTGTTCATCAGTTCCAGAACTGACCAGGGGAGCCAGCTTTGGGCAGTGGCTGGGCCATCTAGTTGTGGCAATCAGTACTGATTGAGTTTCGAGCTAGTTTGAGTGAATCTCTTGATCCATGTGATTCGTTTCAGAGTTGTTTTGTGGATTCAAGGCTTCATTTCCATTGAACCTTCTAGTTGTCTGTAAAGCTTTGCTGACTCTCTGGATGTTTTACATTTTGGTAGGGTTACGAATTGTCACTATGCACCTGTGTGAGGGGCGGGGGGTCAGGTTCTGGCTCTTGTCCTAAGCTAGGCTAAACAGAACTTCTGCATCTGATGTGTCCCATTAGAATGGAGCAATTTTGGCGAGATTAGTATCAAGGAGTCATTGGGGCTCTACCAGAAAGAGGCTTTTCATTATGCCAGTGCTGGGTTTTTACCATTGTCAAACTACTGTTGCATAGCTTTCTTTTATTTCTCACTTTTTCAAGATGTGTTATTTATTTTCCTTTGACCAGACTTTGGCAACTTTTCTTAATGTTTGGTTGTTCTCTGGCACACATGTTTTACACGCCTCTGAGTGCATTAGATTTTGATCCAGGTGCCCAGGAGGCCCATGCAAGTCTATAGTCCTGGTAGCATTGTGGGGGATGTCTGTGGTATCGGGGCCCAATCATCGGGATGCTATCGAGGCGGGTCGGGAAAGGGGGTTTCATTGCATTCATAACTTGTCTTTTGGAGGGGGGGGGGGAAGATAAAGTCATCTAGTGGCTAGCTGCTGGTGATGAATCTTGGGTCTATCATATAAGTTTTGGCTTTAAAAACTTTCTGAAATACAGTATACATGAAAACAATTTCATGTATACTGTATTGACTCATCACAAGACTCATCATTGATTGTTTATGCTGTACTCAACACCTTGTCTTTTATGGGAGGAAAATTTTAATTTATAAATTCCAAATTAGTTTTTGAAACAGTACTGTACTTGTAATGGATATATCGTGCATTTCTAATGATTCATTGTGTTCAAAAGTAGAGGGGAATGTTTAGTGTGTGTGACTTGCATACAGATAATAAATAATTTATTAACGTCTATTGCCATGTGCATATTTTATATACATTTGTTTTCTTTACAGCTACTGGACAAGTGTGCGCGGCCGTGTTTATCATTGGAAACCCACACCAATGATGACGACAGTGATGTTGACTTGCAATGAGTAGTAGCAGAATCATTTAGTCATTTTATAATGATATTGAAATAGGTTCATGCATAATTTCATAACTCATCCTTAGTAATGTATGTTTTCTGTATATGTATGAAACACACACACATGCATACATGCATGCATATATACATACATACATCCCCTTCCCCCCACACACACGCACACACACATTTATTATATACATATATGTAATTACAAATTGGTAATAACACACATACTGTACATATATATAATATGTGATTACATATTATTTCTAAAGAGCTTTACTAATTCATGAATGACATTATAGGACCATGAATTATTGTCTGCTCATTTAACGAGCAGCCAAACTTTGGGTGTAATATTGGTAAGACTGTTGTATACGCTTGCTTCTTGTAGAGACTCCGCGGACGTGTCCTTCAACACTCCCGGCATAGGTGTAAGATCTCCAAGTTTCAATTGTAACTCGCCTAACTAATTCCATTCAGCTGCTATTATTTTTTTTGTCCTTTCTGTGATCATTGTACTGATGGTTCTGTCAAGATGAAGAGAAAGATTGTATTATCATAATGTTTGTCTGTAGTCGTTAGGTCTTTGTTTTATTCTGTTGTTAGAAAAGTGGGTTAATAAAAGTGGCAAGCATTGTGAAGATGTGCAGTACACCTGTCATGATGTGCTTTATTGTGGTCGAGTGTGCATTTTAAGAAGGCAGTCTCTTGTGCATATTTTTGAAGGAATTGTTTCGCTCTTTTTTTTTAACATTTGTTGATTGTTGCTTACGTTGCTCTTGTTCACTATTTTGTGTCCAGTTCGATAAAGCTCATCGTGTTTCATGATTATAAACCCAACTGTCTGTCGTTTATGTCTAGCCTTTGTTATATGTCGAATATTTTCATCAAATAGTTGTGCATCTGCATTATAACTCTTACACCTTTAAGGCTGCTGCCAGTTATTACGTATGCTATATGAATCTTGATGCATGGGTTAGTCCTTCATCGCCTAGAGTGAAGACTGCATGTTGCATATGGTCTCTCTCTGCTTGACAAATAATGTAAACCATATCAGAAAATCATATGCCTATGTTTTCTTGTTATGGCTTCAGTGGGATACTTGTGTATATAATATCCAGCAATAGGCTGATCTGTATTCTCTGCATCAAATTTTGCTGTATGTTTATAATAGATTATTTTCTGTATATATATCATGTACATCTTTTTTTATTTCTCTGAATTTAAATGAAAATAATTTTGCAAAACCACTTCCATATGTTTTGATCTGTGCATATTTCAACATTCTCCTTCATCAAAACATTCTTTTTGCCATTAAAAGACTTCCATCTCTGGCTTATCTACATAAATATAGTCCTGTATGTGCTCCCTTGAAGGTTTTATATGGTATTACATTGATTGCGTTCTTGTTTGTTTATATTATACTGTGTTCTTATTTTCTGTTACCAGCCCCTTTTTACAGGATTGATTTTCATCACTTTACATCCTCTCCTCTCTTGACATTCCATAGCCACATCTGAGTGTGGCCTTTGTGAGCGTGTGCACGGTACCAGCCGTGTTGGTCACAATATCTTGTTCCACATCTGAGTGTGGCCTTAGTGAGCGTGTTCACAGTACCGACTGTGTTGGTCACCATTATCTTGTTCCACATCTGAGTGTGGCCTTTGTGAGCGTGTGCACGGTACCAGCCGTGTTGGTCACATTATCTTGTTCCACGTCTTTGTGTGCACAGTACTGGTCACATAGCCTTGTTCCACCTCTTGTGGAACCATTCCTACTAATGTAGTGTTGTAACCTCTGCACAATTTTTGTCTTGATTAGCTTTGAGTTTATAGTCTGGCATCCACCGAGTATATTACACCTCATTTTCAGGGAAGGTGAGGTTAGGCAGTTAAAGATGGTTACTTCAGATGAATTTTATTTGTCATTGCATAATGTGTATTTTAAAAGTAAAACCCGAAGTATCTGGAGTTGCACAAAAGTTTCACCTGAAGGCTTAGCTGTCAGGAACTTCTTCACCTGTCAAGAGTTATTGTCAGTAAAAACATTATTTTCAAAACAAAAGTTATAGAAAAAGATGAAAGGTATCTTAGTGATCCAAGCCTCGGACTGTTTACAGTACAACCGTCGTCAGTTGTCAGCTGCAGAGGAACATTGTTCGTACATTTCCAGCTTCCAGTTAGACTTGACCTTTACTGATATCTTTGAAAGTTAATGTATTTCTGTATTTGGCAAAAAAAAAAAAAAAAAAGCCTAACATAAAGCAGTGCAGTATCACGAGGAGAACATTTACCTGTGTCTAAACCTGTGAGTGAATATCAACTCAGACCCCAAGCTTAAGTGATTTAGATTTATGTATTCCTTTTGGCATTAGTCACACAGCCATATAAACTGGAATATCAAACAGAATTCTTCATTTCGTAATTTTACAAGATATTTCATTATTTGGAGGAAATCTTGTATATGTTGTATGTGAGTGTGTGTGTAGGTGTAATTACCCAAGTGTAATTATAGGATGAGAGCTATGCTCGTGGTGTCCCGTCTTCCCAGCACTCTGTCATATAACACTTCAAAACTACTGACGGTTTCGGCCTCCTCCACCTCTTCACTCAACTTGTTCCAACCGTCTACCGTTGTTTGCAAAAGAAAATTGTCTAATATTTTTTCGGCACCTTTGTTTCCTTAGCTTGAATCTAGTGACACACAATATGAAAAATCATTCATATTTGCAAACATGCTAGGCCTAAAATCAAAATCAAGAAATAAAGTTATGTTCATAAATGGCTTTCTAGTAGTGGAATTCAATATTTGGGGCATTCACGGCATCTCGTATGGAAGATAACATAGTGAAATCTGGATTCCAAATTATAATTTATATAAATGTGATAGAGAAATTAGGTCCAGTGGAGGAGTAGGCCTGTATATTAAAGAGGATCTCGTATGCACAGAGTTACTAAACTCAACCAATGAGGTGGTAGAGATACTGTACTTGGAATCAAGGTACAAAAAAAACTAATTATTATTCTATTATATAAACCGCCAGATACAACGGTTGAGGAATTCACAGAGCAGATGCACAAAATAGAGAATAGCCTTGATAATCTAGAAAACCCAGTTCCAGATATTATCTTCCTTGGAGACTTCAATCTACCCAGTTTAAGATGGAGAATGGCAAACTATAATATAGGAGAAAACCAACCTGGAAATAATCAACTGCAGGTCAGAGAACTGTTGAGATGCTGTGACAAATTCTCATTCAACCAACAGATTATGGAACCAATTAGGAACGAAAACACACTAGTCCTGATATTCACAAACAATGATGAGGCATTATAATCTCATACTACATAATTATACCATAAGATCATTGAAGTGCAAACTAACATTAATAATGGTACAGTAGTAGATCCATGAGAACCAACAAGCAAGAAGGGCTCTTCAATCAATTCAATTTCAACAATATATAGGATTGACTGGGAAAAAATATAGATCTTGCAAACATTCATTGGGAGACTGTCTTAAGCGACAAAACTCGCACACTGGGAAGAGCTTGACTGACAGCTGAAGCATACAAGGTCTGCTTGAAGCATGTGGCTGTGAGGAGGGTAAAAAAGAGGACCACTCTAGAAATAGAATGCAGACGATTGTTCAGGAGAAGGAAAAAATCACGGAAATGCTTAAACAGACACAACTACTGCAAGAAAGGAAAATAGTCAGTTATTCAACCACTATGATAAAATCACAGAATAGCCCATAAAATGAAATCAGTATGAATAACGGGTAAAGTTGTGCATTGGATTTTCAACTTTGTCACACAGAATGCAGAAAGTGACGGTCAATCAAATAAGATCAAGCCCAAGTGCAGTGAAAAGCTCTGTACCCCAGGGCACAGTCCTTGCACCTCTGCTATTTCTTATTCTAATCTCGGATATAGACAAAAATACTAGTCACAGCTTCGTGTCATCCTTTGCTGATTATACAATAATCGGCATGAAAATTTCCTCTGTACAAGACACTGAAAAACTGCAGGCAGATATTGATAGTCTTCGATTGGGCAACTGAAAATAACATGAAGTTTATCAGTGACAATTTCCAGGTACTTGGGTATGGTGGAAACGAAGAGCTTAAATGAAATATAGGGTACAAGACACAATCAGACCTACTCATAGAAGGAAAGCAATATGTAAAAAATCTGGGAATTATGATGTTTGATGACCTGATATTTAGTGAACATAACCAAGCAAGTATAGTGGCGGCCAGGAAAATGATATGGTAGATGATGAGAACATTCAAATCCAGAAACCCCACAGCACTGCTGATACTATTTAAATCACTAGTGCTGTCCCATCTTGAGTATTGCTTGGTACTCACTTTCCATTTCAGAGAAGGAGAAATCTGTGAATTAGAGAGAATACAGAGAACATATAAGGCATGCATAGATACGATAAAACTTCAAAATTATTGGGACCATCTCGAAGCTCTCAAAATGTACTCTTTGGAAAGGAGATGAGAAAGGTGTCAATTTTTTTTTTTTTTTTTTTTTTTTTTTGAGATATATACAAGAGTTGTTACATTCATGTACAGCCACTAGTACGCGAAGCGTTTCGGGCAGGTCCCTGGAATACGATCCCCTGCCGCGAAGAATCGTTTTTTCATCCAAGTACACATTTTACTGTTGCGTTAAACAGAGGCTACAGTTAAGGAATTGCGCCCAGTAAATCCTCCCCGGCCAGGATACGAACCCATGACATAGCGCTCGCGGAACGCCAGGCGAGTGTCTTACCACTACACCACGGAGACTGTTATAATATAATAATGGAAATAATATATACATGGAAGATACTTGAAGGCTAGGTCCCAAATTTGCACCAATTGAATAACAACATACTGGAGCAAAAGACATGGAAGGAAATGCAGAATAGAGAACTAATGAAGAGTAGACCAAACCACACCCTAGAAATTGAAGAGACGACAATGTTTTGGTCCATCCTGGACCATTATCAAGTTGATTGTGATCCAGGATGGACTGAAACATTGTCGTCGTCTTCAATTTCTAGTGTGGTTTGATGAACATTTTTCAGCCATGTTATTGTGACTCTTCATCTACAATGAAGAGTAGAGATGCCATAGGCACAGAACCTTCATAATAAAATAGGCACAGAGAGCACTGTATGAACATGAGAGGTCCACAGCTGCTCAACACCCTCCCAGCAAGCACTAGAAAAATTGCTGGGGCAAAGGTGGATGTATTCAAGAAGCACTTAGATAAGTTCTTGCAAGAAGTGCCGGACCAACCAGGCTGCAGTGGATATGTGGGCTTGTAGGCTGCTCCAAGCAACAGCCTGTTGGACAAAGTTATCAGAAGTCGAGCCTGGCCTCAGGCTGGGCTTGGGGAGTAGACGAACTCCCAGAACCTTCTCGTGGTATGCTCCAGGTATGACGTCTCGTTCTTGAGCTTGCCAGTTTTAGGAATTCCTTTGTCAATTTGGTTGAGTCCTGCTATTATTTTGTAAGTGATTATATTGCCTCTTTTGCTTCTATCTTCTAGTTTTGGCATATTTAACATCTCTAGCCTCTTATCATAACTTGTTTTTCAGTTCTGGCAGCCATTTTGTAGAATGCAATTGTACCTTTTCCAATTCATTGATGTGCTTCTTGAGATATGGGCACCATACAATGTGTGTGTGTATAATTATCTAAGTGTAGTTACATGATCTGAGCTATGCTCGTGGTGTCCTGTTTTCCCAGTACTCTTTGTCACATAACTCTTTGAAACTACTGACACTTGGTCTCCACCACTTAATCACTTAACTTGTTCCAACCGTCTACCACTCTGTTTACAAAAAAAAAAAAAAAACTTTCTAAATTTTTTTTGGCATCTTTGTTTCCTTACTTGAATCTGTGACCTCTTGTTCATGAGGTTGTCAGTTTCAGGAATTCCTTTGTCAATTTGGTAAATTCCTGCCATTATTTTGAAAGTGATCATATTGCCTTTTTTTTCTTCTATCCGCTAGTTTTGGCATATTTAATGCCTCTAGGTTTATTATTATTTTCGGTTTATTTAACGCCTCTCAACATTTAGGTTTTATTTAATGCCTCTTTAACAGTTACGTTAGGTTAGGATTTTTTAATGTAGGACCTCCTCAACCCTGACACAATTATTACTATTGAACTGGTGTATTGGGAATTTGGCCCTATCTAAAAGATCATGTACTGACTTGCCTCTTTTCCAACCTAACCTATCCTAACCTAACATAACTAAGTCAGTAATTCATGTTGTTAACCTCCGTGCTGCTCAGTTATTAATAGCCTTCAACACCGCCAGGCGCAATAAATAAAAAAATGCAATTTTTTTTTTCGTCTTATAAAAGTGTTCATTTGTGTTCCCTGCCCGCCAAACACACACCGAAATTACGACGTTGGTACAACGTTCGAACAAGTTTTAACACCTAACCAGTTATAACAACCAATATAGCAAGTTGTAGCAACGTTCTAATACGTCATAAACACGTTAAGCCAAGATGTAACAACTTTATTACAAGTTGTAACAAGCGGAAAATAGAAACAGTTTCAGTTTGTTTCCAGGGTGATTATGGGAAAAATAACAACAGAATCGTAGGTAACATTTTGGCCACACTAGGGCATGGAAGTCTGGCAAAATTGAGGCGTTGACAGACTAGGCGTCCTGTGGCGGCCTGCTCCACCCTCGCTGACAGGCGGGAGTTGCCACAAAGATGATATTACCTAACTATTTCACCAAGTGGTGCCCAACCACTTGGGCTGGACGATAGAGCGACGGTCTCACTTCATGCAGGTCGACGTTTAATCCCCAACCGTCCAAGTGGTTGGGCATCACTCCTTCCCCCAGTCCCATCCCAAATCCTTATCCTGACCCCTTCCCAGTGCTATATAGACGTAATGGCTTGGCGCTTTCCCTTGATAATTCCTTCCTTCCATGATTGATATACTGTATATAGTTTTTTTTACAGTAATATTATTCAATAGTGTATAGTGCGATATATTTATATAATAAAATGTGTGAACCAACTGTATAACTAAGCTGGTATGGTGAGTCAAGACAATAATTGAGGTCACCACACAGTCAGCTGATGCTCCCTCCCTCACTCGCCAACATTCCTACTCCCACTATACAGTTTGTGCTGTTTTTACACTATATACACACACATTATATATAAA